AACCCCCTGATCCTACCGAGGAATTCATCAGCAGGGCCGTCAACCCTAGAGAACGAACGCCCTGCTAGAAGAAGCAATAGGGTACGCAAACAAACCGAGAAAGGCCGGCTCTTTGAACAACAGAGCAAGAGGAAGTCGAAGGACTTAGTAAACGCTCTGAGCCTACCTCTTAATTTCGACAAAGAGGAGGAAATCCAGGGGTTGCATCACACTCTCCACCACGTCTTCTCGGCAGCCGTCACAACTAACGGCATTCATCGTAACGGCTTACCAAATCCCCCGAGGGCATTCAAAGACCTAGCACACTAGCCGAAAGAGCAGAGTTCGAGGAGGCCTGCCGCGAGGAATTACGAGCTCTCGTACGCAAAGGCACATGGAGAAAGGTTGACCAAACCTTGGCCTCAGGAAAGGTGCTTCCTCTGATGTAGGTTTTTCCTACAAATTCGACTAGGCAAGCTACCTAGCCAAGTGCAAGGCACGCATTGGTGTTAGAGGGGACCTTCAGGAAAGCAGCATCCGCGATACCTACACCCACACGCTCGCCGCGAGGTCTTTTCGGGTAGCCATCGCTATACCCGCCCGGTTCGACCTAGAAATCCAGCAGTACGACGTCGTCAACGCTTTTCCGAATAGCAACATCAACGAAGTGGTACACTTGGAGCTCCCTGACAGAAAAAAGGAGCTTGGAACAGTGGAGTTTGATAAAGCTCTATATGGACTACGAAGCTCACCACTTTTGTGGTATAAAGAGCTCTCGAAAGCCCTACTTAACCTAGGCCTTTCCAAGTCGACAGAGGAGGCCTGCATCTTGGTCAACGACAAAGCCTTTGTCCTCTTCTACGTTGACGATATCCTAATTATGTACCGGAAGATGAGGATGCGGCTTAACGACTGACTAAGGAAAACAATTCGAATTACGGAATGAGGGTAACCTACATTGGTTCCTAGGAATCAGGGTTATCCGTGATAGAGAGCATCGTCAAATTAGCCTCTGCCAGGACTCATAAAATCGCTACCAAGTTCAACGTAGGAGTAGGACGGGCCAGTTACCCTTCCGGGGGGTGCCTGTGCCGGTAATGCCGGCGCCGAGAGAGCCAAGTTTTAGCTATGTGTTACGATCCTGGTTCAGGCGCGCAGGAGGCTGCACGGAGCCTCCCACTATTGGCTGACGCAAGGAAGTGGGGTAGTTCCCCACTCCGCTCAAGTGCAGCCAATAACGGGGCGGTCAGTACGATCAGCATGGTCAGGGCGATCAGTGGGGGAACTGATCGCGCTGAGCACACTGACCGCACTGAGCTCACTGATCACCTAGGACCAACTCTCTGATTGGTCCGCCTTAGATAGATATATACGACGACCGTAGCCACGGTCTCAGATAGTTCTTGCTTGGTTCTTCAAGCAAGCAATACACATTCACTGCACTCATACACTTTGAGTGGCATTCCGATTTGACTGTATTACCCGCGCGATAGGAGCTTGCCCTTTGTTCTATCTTCATAATTACCAACCCCAGCATTCTGTGGAGCCTGTGCTCCCTTACAGACAGACGACCCTAACAGTCGAGTGGTTTGTAATACTATGTAGACACCTACTGAGAAGAGTAAAGTTGTTCGCTGCTGGCCTCTCTCGGCTGTACTTTTTCCTTTCTGGCTTCTGCTCAGACAAGCGCGAAGCCCAAGTACACAAGCTGCCCGCTGGCTGTGGACTTTTCCTCTACGCCTCAACTGCCTGATTCACAAGTTGTTTGCTGAACACAAGTCTTTTGAGTAGCAAACAGGTTTTTGCTTAACAAGTATTTTGCCAAGTAAAGTCGTGCTGAGCAGTACACCTTTTGCTGAATACAAGTCTTTTGCTGAGTGGAGACAAGTTTTTTCCCAAATATGAGTTTTTTGCCAAGTAGCACAAAGTTGTGCTGAGCAGTACGCTGAGTAGCACACAAGTTGTTTGCTGAACACGAGTTTTTGCCGAGTAGTACAAGGTTGTGCTGAGCAGTACGCTGAGTATAAGTTATTGGCTGAATACAAGTTTTTGCTGACAAGTACACAAGTTGTTTGCGGAGTACATCTTCCTCCACGCGCTTCAATTGCTTATCACAAGTTCGCTAAGTAGTATACAAGTTTTTGCTAAGCACACTTACTAAGAAGAGTAAAGTTATTCGCTGCTAGCACCCGCTGACTTTTGCCTTTCCGGCCTCCACGTCACTGATCCCCGCAGGCAAGCGCGAACCCCTTACACAAGCTGTGGCACCCGCTCCGGCTGTGGACTTTGCTTTGCTGTGCTACGTCAGCTCCCCGGAAAGGCAAGCGCGAGCCCCCTGAGTACACAAGCTATAGCACCCGCCCTTTTACGTAGCACACAAGTTTGCTGTCGGCACGTTTTAGCTGAGCACACTTTGCCCAAGTTCTTCGCTGCCCCTGGCTGTACTTTTTCCTTCTGGCTTCCAAGGCAGCGCGAAGCCCAAGTACACAAGCTGCCCGCTCCTGGCTGTGGACTTTTGCCATCACTTGCTCGCAGCACCTTGAGGCTTGGGCTGACATGCCGCAAGGCAGAACTCAGTGACAGCACTGTTGCCCTTTTCGCAATCTTCGGTCTATGCAGTCTCGGCACAGTACCTCCAAAGTGTAGCAGACAACTAGCACAGTACCATGGTAGCAGACAACTAGCAAAGTAATATGGTAATGGCAGATAACTGTGTTGCACCCTATGAAAACACGCCCCTGACACGCAATCCACATTGGCTCGGTAGCTATTACCCAAACTGCAGGTGCTCCCTTCTTCCTCTGACACGCAATCTACATGGCTCGGTCTAGAACCAAGCCATCCCCAAACTGCAGGTGCTTCCTTCTTCCTCTGACACCATGGCTCGGTCTAGAACTAAGCCATTCTGCAGGTGCTTCCCCCTTTCCTCTCCCTTCCCGTGTTGCACCTACTCCTTTTCAAGGACAACACACCACCCTGCCGCACCGCCTAACACGCAATCTATAACTCACTTCGCAAGTTCTTCTCTTCTCTTCATCTGCCTCGTCCGCAGCAATCTACATTGCGGCTGGATCACGCCATCCCGCCAACCGGAGCCGTCACGGCCTTGCCTTACCGTCTGCCGTGTCGTCCGTCTGCCGTATCCTCCGTCCGACCTTGTCTCTGTCCTTATTACGGTTGTCCTTTGCAACGACAGCATCTACTCGCAAGCCATCCCCGTCACGGCCTTTACCGTTGCACTGTCACGGTGTCCTACAACGCAGCAATCGACATTGTCTTGCCTTGACACGACATAGCAATCGACATTGTCTTGATCAGCCATCCCGCCAAACGCAGGTACTCTCTTCTTTCTCGTTGCACTGCCTTGCTGACATGCCGCCAAAACAGCCGTCACAGCCTTCTTCGATACGACATACTTCTTCGATACGACATAGCAATCTATATTGGCTCGTCTCAGCTATCAATTGTAGGTGCGTCTCTTTTCTCGTTGTGCCTTGCTGACATCCCGCAGCCGCCACGGCCTTCTCTTCAACGATAGCATTCTATATCGGCTCTCATTAACTGTAGGTGCTTTTCCTCCTCATACTGCCTTCTTCTTCCCCGTGCTGCACTGCTTGCTGATATCTCGCAGCCGCTAGGGCCTTCTCCTTCGATACGATACACTTCTTCGACAGGACACAGCAATCTACATTGGCTCGTCTTAGCCATCAACTATAGGTCCTTCTCTTTTTTTTCTCATTACCCTGCCTTCTGACATCCCACCGCAGCCGCTACGGCTTTCTTCAACACAGCATTAGCTCGCAAGCCATCCCGCTAAACCGCCGCCACGGCCTTCTCCAACGTCCAATGACACAGCTTCGGCATTGGCTCGCAAGCCATCCCGCGAAACCGCCGTCACGCCCTTCTCTTCTTAATGACACCCGTTGCCGTCGGGCCTTGTTCGATACAGCAATCTATATTGCGGTCTTGATCAGCCATCAACTGTAGGTACGTGTCTTTCTCGTTATTGCCTTCCTCTTGCTCGTGCTACACTGCTTCTTCCCCGTGCTGCACTGCTTGCTGACATCCCGCAGCCGCCACAGCCTTCTTCGACAGCAATCCACATTGGCTCCCATCAACTGTAGGTGCTTTCTTTCTCGTCACTGCCTTCCTCTGGTGTATCATAGCCGCGGGGACATGGGTCGCGACAACGCGGCCGAGTCACATCACCAGCCGCAGCAGCACAACAAAGCAGACGATACGCACCGTCACCACGTTAACCCAGTGTCAGGAACGCCAACTCCCACCCACCAGTGTCAGCAATGAACACCCCAGTGTCACCAACTGATATAAAGAAAGCCAACCTACATAAAGAACGCCAACCCACAAAAAGAACGCCAACCCAGACCCACACACCCACCACCACCCAGTCACCCACACACCCACCCACACACACGGCCAACACCCAGCGGCACCACCCGCACACCCACTACCAGCCCACAGCAGAGCGACAACAAGTCTAGACACCACGCCCAAGCCAGCAGCCCTCGCAACAATCGCTCCCGCTCAGCCAACAACAGCAGCCCAGCAGCCCAGCGACAACCCGACGCACCTAGAAAACACGCCCAGCAACCCAGCAGCCCTCGTAACAACCGCCCTTGCCCACGACAGCAGCTAGCAACAACACGGCGCCAGCCACCACCTAATATAGCACCCGCCATGTATATACGTCTACGATACGGCCGAGCCACATCACCAGCACAACAAACGATACGCCCGCCGTCACCACCGCCGTAATAGAAGGCAAAGGAGGTCGCGTCATGTGTGTTGCTTGTGTTGCTTGGGACTATATACATCTCCCTTCTCTCGGATATTATTACATCTCCCTTCTCAGAGATATTAATGCCTGTCTGCCTCGTCTCTGAGACGAGGTCCTGTCTGCCTCGTCTCTGAGACGTAGATCCTGTTTTGGATGGCTTTGCATGTCTTTGCATGCCAACATTTGTGCCACGGCTTCTGCATATTCCTTGAGCAAACTAGCTCTAGGAGCACTTGCCGCACACCCAAGTGTTCTCTTCCAAATCTTCCTCGTCCACACCGTCCACGCAACCCACGTGGTATAGACGTTTTTTGCACGCCTAAGAACGTTAGAAGCGCTCCTTCAAATTTACCCACTAGGCTACAATGGGACCACTTACCTTGTTAGAGCAAGTCAACATTGCCGATACCGGCACAGGTTTGCCGCAGGCATTGCACCCGCTCGTGCCCGTACCAGGATGCCTGGGTAAGACTTTGGGCGCCTCGCCAGAGTCTTTGGTCCTCGCCTCGTTGATGCTCTCGGTGGCCTCGAGAATGGATGCCTCGTCGATGGCTCCCCTTATCAGCAACATAGAAGCATGCTTGCTGAACTCGTCCATCCGACTCCGTTTGGACACAAGCCAGTCCGCTTTCTCCTTCACAAAGCCGACGAAGACGCGCGGCAGGTACTGCTCAGAAGAGATATGATTGTTTCTCATGATAAACGAGTCCCATTCCGGCATGTAATCCTTCTCCTCGGGCGAGACGTCGGTAAAGTCTCGCAAGCTATCAGCACGTTTGAGAAGAAGCCATGAATCGTCTACCGGGCGGGGGCGGTATTCAGCGCCTGGCACAAGTTGTGCTCTGCTTATCGGGTCAAAAAGCGCCTGTTTGATGTTGGGTACCAGTAACTTCTCTGGCCGCTCGCTACCGAATTTCTGGGAACGTGTCAGTTTTTACTGTCAGTTTTATACTGCGAGAGAACTGTCTCGGTAGAGAGGCTTACCTTGGGAGGCGCCGGGAAAAGTTTTTCAATAATCTCCTCATCGTTATCTAGGCCCAGACGAGACCTGACCCATGAGAAGTCGCCCTCGACATATTTACGCAGGTCAAGTAGCTTGACTGGGGGACCGAGCTGATAAATTCTTGGCCCGAGTGCTTGGGCAACATCAGTGGCTGGCGTAACCCGAACCCTGAGCTCTCCCTTTGTCCGGGTGTCCCGGCGTTGGAAAAAAAAGTCAAACTGCGAGTGGCTCTGGCAATGAGCTCGTAGCTGGCTGATCCGCTCCGTCTCCGCACCGCAAATCAGACACGCGAGCTTCTCAATGTGTACTTGCCCGGGTAGGAGCAGATATGTGATGGAAGGCTCGTCAGGCCGATCAATCTCGTCGTCTAACCTCGGCCGTTTCCTGCGCTGCCTCCTAACGGCCGTCTTCCAGATGTGGTCGACGTTGTAGTTGATTTCTGGCCTCGGCCGTCTGGTTCGACCTGGGTCGGGGAGCTTATCTGCCTCTCCATCGGCCGGGGCAGACACTGTAACAGACTGCTTGATATCCTTCCCACGCGCGAGCTGGTTGGAAACTGGCGTAAACCAGCCGACATCGACGTCTATGGAAAAATCAGTCATCTCGTCGCCTTGGGAAGTCTTCTTCAGCCTCAGTCGAATGGTCTTGCGGTTGCGGTCGTACAAGTCGACAATGGTGGCGGTGAACGCCCACTGCCGAGGAGAGAGCCGTCCGTCATTCCAATGGGCCGAGTTGCCGGGTGGGAGGAGGTCATTGGGAGGCCAGTTGATACCACCGCCGGACTCAAGCCGGATTACCACCTGGTACGAGTTGGCGAGGCCAAAGACCATGTCCTCACGCTCGAGACTGATCTTGTCCTCGGGGATGTAGAAGGGCTGGATGGAGGAGAAGCGCGCCATTGGAGAGGAGCCGGCGGGGTTCTTGAACACGTCGACTTCGCACAGCTGGCTGTCGGCGTGCAAGACGACATCCTGGTCACCTCTACGGCACGCGAACTCGATGCTGCAACGGACTCTGAAGTGATTTGTGTTTGGCGGAATTAGGCCGTCGAGGATGTCATTCTCGACGCGAGGCGCCTCCTCGACGCGAGGCGCGTCCTTGTGGCAGACCTTGACGAGTCGGATGCGGAGGGCCCGCGTGATGGTGGCATAAGGCTCAAATAACGGAAAGCCATCATGGTCGTTGTCGACGCGATGGCGCTTGCGAGACGGCGCCGACGCGTTATTTCCCGTCTTGGTGTACCAGTGGTTGGTGGCTCTGATCCAGTTCCGGTGCAGGAAAGGCAGCTCGCGGTGGCGCGAGCGTGTGCCCGTCATTGCTGGATACACGGAACCTGAATAAAGGCAAATAAGTAAGCAGGTAGGTAGTTAACGACGTGTGGGTTGTCTGCAGGTCGCGGGTGCCGAGGGAGCTGGTGAGGCGTCAGGAACAATCAAAGTTTTGAAATCGAAGTTTTGAAAAGTTGAAAGCAAAACAAGAAAGGGAACAAGAAGAGCCGGACTGGGTGGACTAAAGAAGCAGGTGCGACGGAAACCACCAGTGTTAGCGAACAGCAAACCCACCCCACGACCAGTGTTGGGACGATTGCTAACCCACACCGACCAGTGTGAGAACGCCAACCCACCGTGTCAGCCAAGAACGCCAACCCACCCCACCAGTATCGCCAACCCACACTTACTGTATCAAGAATGCCAACCCATACCACCACCAGTCAGCTATAATAGGTAATGAGAGAGGGACTGACGTGGTCACCAGCCAGCACAAACAAGGTAAACGACATGCCCCTTGACGGCCAGCAATACAAACAAGCAGGCAACGAGGAGCTAACGTGGTCACTAGCTAACATAAACAAGTAAACAACACCCCCTGATGCCGTCACCACCAAGTATCAGCAAAGAACGCCAGCCCACCAGTGTCAGAACGCCAACCTACTACTAGTATCAAAACGCCAACCCACCAGTGTCAGGGAGAACGCCAACCCACAGTGTCAGGACGATTGCCAACCCACACCCACACCAGTGTCAAAACGCCAACTTATACCAGTATCAGCTAAGAACGCCAACCCATACCAGTATCAGCAAACGCCAACCCACCCCCACCAGTATCGCCAACCCACACCCACACCAGTATCGAAACGCCCCTCTTGCTTCTTGATCTCCACGCACGACGAGCCGCGCCTTCGTCTTATGAGGTACCCGTCCTTATCGAACTTGTGGGTTTATACAATCGAGCATCAGCTCGCCTTTGGCGGTATCGATACGGACCTCTTCGACTGCATCTCGTGATGGCTCTGCATGTGGTTGGCCATTGCGGCTCGGAACCAGGCCTCAAATAGGTGAGCACATACGAGCGTAACTGATCGGTGCGGTTGGAAGTCTCGCCTTGAGGTGTAGGTTGTGCGTCTTGCTCGCTGAGCTCCATCGCTGTGAAAGCTGCGGCCACCAACTCGGCTGCTTGCGGTTGAGTTGATCCAGGTTGTAGGAGCTGGCTTGCGCAACACGCCGAGTAAGGGGGCCAGTCTCGTACTCAATCTCGCGTTCCATCTCCACTTCTGTTGTGGACTCTGCCTCTATAAGTTCAGAGATATCTGCCCGGTCAGAGATATCTGCCCCGGTCAGAGATATCTGCCCCGGTTTAAGAGGTTATGGCTGACGCCCGGTGCAGCTCTTCCCCGGCTATGGTGAGGGCTTAGAGGATCGCAAGTCCCTCCCCAAGGTTGTTGTCGATGATAGCACCGACAGCAAAACCCATGCTCACAATATCGCCGTTCATATACGTCCTGGGCGCATACCGACAGAACACAACTCCCAGGCCGCCGGGTAGGTACAGGTGCTGGTTGTTGTGGATTGTCGACATCGAGGCGTCGCAAAAGAAGGCAAGCCTAACGTTGCCAGGGCTAGGGCTTGAGATGTAGCTCTCGGCAGCTTGAGCTTCGTTGATGGCGGCCATGTTTTTGGGGGTCAATTTTGGCCCCTTGGGTTTCTGGCCATTCTTTGACGGCTGGCTTACGGCGGGCTGAAGAGGCTTGCTGAGTAGGGACTGCGGCAGCTGGTTCGGAGTTGGCTGTGGCGGTTGGCTGGGTCCGGACTGGGTTTGCTGAGAATTTGTAACAATGTCTAGAAACCATCAACTGTTAGTCATGACTCAAATACAAGGAATAGATACTCTTACCACTCATCTGTTGTCTTTGTGCAACTCCCGTGTTGTCGACAATCATTTGGACCACATTAGCTTGCTGGGGAAGTATCTGGTTCATGTTGGTGTTCATGTTGACAAATTGTTGATATTGAGAAGGTTGGCGAAGAGAATATTGGTGCAAGCAGACGCGATGATGCGGCTCTTGATGCAAGACAGAAAGAGGCAAGTGTTGTTGTCAGGGGTAAGACAAGATAGACAGAATAGTCAGAACGATTGCCGCTTCGCAGAGCAGTCGCGGAAGATGAAGATTTTGGTGATGATGTAGTGAAGATGTTGCAGTCCAGAACGTTTGTTTGTTTTTGAGAAGAAGTGATGTCTCTGGGAGAGACATTGGTTGTTGACTTGAGCCTCTCCCTCGCGTGTTATTTACACTCGGGCTGTTTATGAACACTGTTCATGAATAACCTCGCCTCACAGACTTGGTGGACTTTGCTAGGTGGGTTGCTGAAGCAAGTTGGCTGTCTATGAACAGTCGCAGCTGTTAGCCTCCCCCAGCCCAGTCAACCGGCATTCTGTTGCCCGACGACATTGAGGTATAGCCCCTCAGGCACACGTCCGGAGTTCCCTCAGATTTTCGACCTACCGTTAAGGACATCAGCCCGAGAATCGTTGGAATGAAGACGAGACAGGTGTAAGGAAACCACCCTCGTAACCACCATGGCCACCGCCACCAGGGCCACCCTCGCCACCATCGCCACTATCGCCACCGCTAACAGGGCCACGCACTATCGCCACTACCACCCTGGCTACGCAAGGATGACTCGTAACCCCTTTCACGTGTATATAGACCATGGCCTTCGCACACTTCTTTAGCTCAGGCCAGGTTGAAGTCTTACGCCAATACCAGTCATTGCTCGCCCTGCTTGTTGCTCCTATTGTGACCACCTTGATCAGGCGTACCTGCCTTCTCTTACAACAGGCCTATAGGAAGGCTAGGGTAGCAACGGCATGGTCCCAAGATCCAAGGAAGATAGGACTCTAATCAAGAGATGGCCTGGGGCCCGTACCTGGACTTCCTTCATTAAATGTATCTCGGCCGCCGGCTACGTACTTTGATCATACTGTTACGATCCTGGTTCAGGCTCGCAGGAGGCTGCACGGAGCCTCCTGCTATTGGCTGGCGCAAGGAAGCGGGGTAGTTCCCCGCTTCACGGGAGTGCAGCCAATAGCGTGGCGGTCAGCGCGATCAGTATGATCAGGGCGATCAGTGGGAACTGATCGCACTGAGCACACTGACCGCACTGATCACCTAGGACCAACGCTCTGATTGGTCCGCCTTAGATAGATATATACGACGACCGTAGCCACGGTCCTAGATAGTTCTTGCTTGGTTCTTCAAGCAAGCAATACACATTCACTGCACTCATACACTTTGAGTGGCATTCCGATTTGACTGTATTACCCGCGCGATAGGAGCTTGCCCTTTGTTCTATCTTCATAATTACCAACCCCAGCATTCTGTGGAGCCCGTGCTCCCTTACAGACAGACGACCCTAACAGTCGAGTGGTTTGTAATACATACGTTATTTTCAAATAGTGGTTTCCTTTATAGCTGAAAATATTCAAGAAATGGAAGTTCACCGCTCAGAATAAGGGCTGTCACGACCAGGGCAAGGCATTGAGGTTAACTCAGTCCATTGGGTGCTATCGACGAAGATTCTAAACTGAGGAGAGAAAGAAGGAAAAGCCCAACAACGCGTCGCGTGCTCGCGAATAAGTTTTCATCTATCAGTGGGGTAGGTGGGGCCTCAAGGAGGCTTCTGATAGGCCCGGGGGTTCTGGGCGGCTCTGGCTGCTTGAGGGCCAGTTTGGTGGACGGGTCCTCACAAGGGCTAGACCGACGACGAATCGCCCTAAAATGGCTTCGCGATATCTTCATTCCCGGTACTGTCACGGTTGATAAGACTTTAAAAGGACAAATGCCAATAATGTATCGTATGTCACGACCAGGGCAAGGCATTGAGGTTAACTCAGTCCATTGTGTGCTATCGACGAAGATTCTAAACTAAGGAGAGAAAGAAGGAAAAGTCCAACAACGCGTCGTGTGCGCGCGAACCAGCTTGCATCTATCAGTGGGGTAGGTGGGGCCTCGAGGAGGCTTCTGATAGGCCCGTGGGTTCTGGGCGGCTCTGGCTGCTTGAGGGCCAGTTTGGTGGATGGGTCCTCACATCGTATTCATTTGGTGGAAAACTAAGCTAAAGAAAAAAGAAAGAAAGATCACAGGAGCTGCGATTGGTGAAAAAAGGTTTGTGGGCGAAGTTTACACGTGACCCACATGCTAACCTAATTGGGCTCTTTCCGTGAAAGAAAGTTTGCGGGCGAAGGTTACACTATTACAAACCACTCGACTGTTAGGGTCGTCTGTCTGTAAGGGAGCACGGGCTCCACAGGATGCTGGGGTTGGTAATTATGAAGATAGAACAAAGGGCAAGCTCTTATCGCACGGGTAATACAGTCAAATCGGAATGCCACTCAAAGTGTATGAGTGCAGTGAATGTGTATTGCTTGCTTGAAGAACCAAGCAAGAACTATCTAAGACCGTGGCTACGGTCATCGTATTTATCTAATTCATGTAACTAATCAGAGTTCTCTCTTTGCATGCTCAGCCGTGCTCACTCGCGCTCAGGGTGCCTTGGCGCTGGCCCCACTGAGCACTCAGCTCAGCCGTGCTTGGTTGCGCTCAGTGTGTCTTGGCGCCGGCCCCACTAAGCACTCCCTAATTGGATGCACCTGGGCAAGAAGGTGGGTCCAACCCCACTCCTTGCTGGCCAACCACGCAAGAGCCCGTGACGCATCCTGCACAGAGGGCTAGGATCGTTATGTAAGAGAAGATAGGTACGCCGGATCAAGGTGGTCACAATGCAGGTAAGAAGGTGGGCGAGCAACGAGTAGTATTGGCGTGAGACTTCAACCTGGCCCTCGCAAAGGAAGGTGGGCGAGGGCCACTGTTTATATACGTGCTCAAGGGCTCAGGCCCGGGGCGCCATGGCGTGGCGTAGTGGCTTGTGCCAACTGGCAGTATTCCGGCCAGTTGGTAACAGGTGGTGAGCGTGCACCCTGTGCGCGCGGCTGGTGTTCGGGTTGTCCTTTCCTTACATGTAACACCACCCCAACATCAATGCCAACGGCAGCATCTGCCTGGACATTTTGCGAGAGCAGTAGAGCCCAGTGTTGACCGTCTCCAAGGGTAAATCACGACCCCAGTCCTTATTTCATATTGTATTCTAATTAAGGTGTAGTGCTGCTCTCCATCAGCTTCCTGCTGACGGACCCGAACCCGGATGACCCTCTCGTGCCTTCGATTGCCTACGTGTACAAGACAGATCGCGCAAAGTACGACGCGATCGCGCGCGGGTGGACCCGAATGTATGCTACTTAGCGTTTTGGCAAGGAGGGCGTTATAAAAAGGACTGGCCTTTTTATATACCAGATGCGATGGGTCGACCCTAGACATGGCGGTCGTTTCGGAATGCCGCGCCGTAAATAATAAGCTACGAGCAGCCGCCCGTAACGTCACAGACATCTAATTGGTAGATAGATACAGGTTGAGACTGAACCAGAACTCATAGGTTACGAGGACATTATTCTGCAGTAAATACCTAGTTTACCTGAGCTTGTCGTGAAACCCAGAAAACCCAAACAGTGACGTCCTATAAGCGGCTTTAGGCAGATGGCTATAAGGTACCGGTCTACAGGTATCGCCACGAGGACGCGGTTCAACGGCTTTTGACATAGACCCGCCGAGCTAATAAGATGAGGCGTCACTAATCTAACCCGCTCTCCAGCTCGAAAGCCTTGGCCATCGGCCCGGAGCGAGATGCCCTGGTTAGGATGGGACCCAATATCTTGCCGCAGGTCGTCAACAAGCTTAGAGACAGACGGAACCAGTTCGGGTGCCAGCTTGTGAGCCACCCCCTCCCCTCACCTTTTCCAATCCTGCCGGGTAGTTTGAAAAGATGTGAATTCTCATTGACGACATGCGCCCAGACAGCAAACTCCAAACCGACACCACCAGAAGGTCGACCCCAAGAACATAGAGATAGAGCAGTACTATGCCCTGAAGTGGCACGCCGAGGCGATCGTCAAGCTTTTCAGCGGCTTCACCAGCGAGCTCGATGAGCTAAACATGGAGTGGGCGCGCGAGAAGGACGCGGCGCGCTACGTGTCGCACTCGGACGCCTTCACGTCAGGCCCGGCGTACGCGGAGCTGGTTAAGCTCGGCCAGCCCGCCGTACCGCTTGTAATGCTCGCCTACGCGCGCGGCCAGAGCGGCTGGTGGCACGAGCTGCTCTCCGAGATGGTCCACGGCCGCAGAAGCGGCCAGCACTGCTTTGACAAGCCGACGCTGTACGGCCTTGTCAAACACCCTCGACACCAGAAGCGCCAATTGGTCCGGGTATTGTGTAGCTTGCTGCAAGACCGCTTGCCGGCAGTTTGCTTCAATGACAGAACACCACCATAGTTCATTGTTTTCTATCTAGCTTCCTACTTCAAAGCGCCGGCGTACCTAATCTTTAACGACATTCCGCTTGCACCTGTCAATATAGTCTTGTCGCAGCTTGCCTGCCTGCCTAGCCTCGCTGCTAATGTCGTTGCATCTTACTCGCTAAGAATTTCTAGCATAATCAAGCAGGCAAGGAGAGGTGAAAAATTCAATATTCTACTCCTATCTCCACTACAGCAATTCGAGGACGTAGAGACTACGAGCGGGCTTGGCGACAGGTTTGAGACTCGGTTTCATGTTCTGTATTTTGATGGCAGTGCTCTTTTGAGGCTCGCTGATTCTAAATTGTGGACTTGGATCTTCGAGCCATGCTCTAGCTTGAAACAATAGCTTGAAACAAGGTTAGCTGTTTGATTCAAAAACTAACGGGCTTGAAGGTCTGGCATCTGGTGTTTCCGTCACAGTCTGTGTTGCTGGGCAATCGATGTCGCTTCCAACGGGCAAGTTCAGCCTCGGGACCGCGTTATGGCCTAGCGGCTGAGGGGCGCCTGAAAGGGAGTCTTAATAACTATGAAATGTAAAGAGTGCCCTTGGTTGAGGACCCAGTGCAGGCGTTTGATGCATGTGGATAGAGTGCTGGTTATGGTGAGTAGGAGACCAGAGGCAAGTGCTGTAACTAGTTCCAGCCCAGGCCATATAGAGCCCTATAAGACAGGGAGATAATTGACAATTCTCAACCTGGGCACTGCCCCGCGTATGCAAGCATTTCAACAATGCGATTCCGTACTCGAACCCGAAATTCGCAGTATATTGTAATTCCGTACTCGGAAACCGAAATTCGCAGTATATTGGCACGTCTTTGCGTACAACTCACCTTGCTTCCCCCCAATGATATCTTCCCCTCCCGGCCGTAGTCAAGATTCCTAATTCTGGAACTGGGATGCTCAACTTCTATTCTGCCAGTTACAGTCATATTTCCCCTCCCTCTCTTCACCTTTTTCTTTCTTATTTCCTTTTTTCAGTGTTGTGCGATATATTCATACAAAGGTACATTACACAAGGCCGCAGCGTCGATTTAATCTGCACTGAATCTTTCAGGTACTCTTCCTCCCCACATCAGCACGGCCCCAATATCAACAGGATATGTCGATAACCTCAGATAAACGGCCGACACGATTTGCAGAGCCCATTGTGCTTTAGAGAGGCGTGAACGACGAGCAGAGGACCAACCCGGCCGTTCAGGTTTTGTCTAAAAAGGAAACTAGGAAATTTTTAAAGCTACCCAGTCTGCGTATGAAATCTCGTTTTCCCTCCCGGCCTCTGAATTTCCTTTCCTGATCTTTGCGCACCGAAGCCAGTTTTCAGACAAAGCAAGTTTTCAGAGACCAGCTACGCATCATGACCCCGACGCCCACCACCCTTCGCGAGACACAGAGTAGTAAGACATGTAGGCTAAAATTTCTGAGTGGAAAGAAAAGAAAAAGAGGGAGAATCGGAACATCTTGGTAGTTGATGCTAACTTTTTGGACTTGACAGGCTCACCGTGCGCCGTTCTGGCGCAGAGAGGCACGCCTGCTAAGCGCCTCCTCAGCTTCCTCCTGCTGGCGCCTCGTCATGGGCGGCGTCTAGGTCCGCGCGGCCTGGAGCCACCACCTGGCCGCCCCCTTTGCCGGAGACTCCTGCATCTCGCGCGTCCTCGTTGTCTCGGGCCCTCTGGCCGTCGTCAACCGCGCCGCTATCGAGGCCGTCGTGGGCGCTGTTAGCGTCTTTACGCTGTGAGTTTTGTTCCGAGGGCCATCTACACACACACACACACACACCATATTAACAGACAGATGCTAATCTATCGTTCAATATCACAGGCAGGACATGATCGTGGCCGACAACTCGCCCGCAAACCGCACACTCGTGTTCCAGTTTAGGTCGTTCCATGTTGTCTAGATAGAAGCCACTTTAAGCCACATCTGAACACATCTGAGTTAAATCTTAAGAAAGCCCTCTATGATGCTCACTTCTTACTCTATGACGCTCACTTCCGGCTAGTACAACTGGATTTTCTTTGTTTACTTTTTGGGTATAAAAGGGCCTTCTTTTCTTGTATTTCTAGTCTTTTTAGACAACTAATTCAATGCGCTGTCAAATTCAACCACGTCTAACATTCCGTGCGCAGGCTAAGTACGCCATCGCAGTCATCATGCCCACGTGGCTAGAGGCGCGCGTGCGCTTCGGCGTCGACCCGCTGTCCGTCGCGACGCATTCGGCTTCTTGAACAACGCCGACAACACGATTCGGCGCGGTTAGAATAGGCCCTAGGCCTACCCTTGCATCGCCTACGCTTGCATCGCCTACGCCAGATTCGATACGCCTGAACACTCCAGGTCTTCTCAAAACTCGGGCGTCAGCGCGTCCCAGCGGCCGGGGCGGAACTCACCGGCGTCGGGGCCCCAGATGTCGGCCGAGTGGTGGACCGAGTACATCGGCACGCTGAGCACGGTGCCAGGCGGGAAGATGTGGCCGCGGATGGTGACGCCGGGCGAGTCGGGCGGGACGAGCCGCGGCAGCCCAATGCCCAACGTCGAGTGGAAGCGCAGCGTCTCGTCGACGACGTTTTGCAGCTATGGCAGGTCGCGCACCATGTCCAAGGTCGGGACGTCGATGTAGCCGGGCACCGCAGCGTTGAGCTCAGCCTGCAGCGCGGCCAGCACGCCGGGCGTGCGGGCGACGTGGAGGAGCAGGGCGCACGACGAGTTGGACGTCGTGTCGCTGCCGGCGATGAGCTGCGTCAGGGCCTCGGCCGTCAGCTCTGGGCTTCGCTTGCCTGACGTGGCGCGCTAGCAAAGTCGAGGCCGACAGCTTGTGCCAGAAGACGCCCAGACAACTGGCAAGGAACGGCAGTGGACGGTCTATTTATCACGATGCAGCTTGTGTGCCAACAATTGTGTACTCAGGGGGCTCGCATGCCTTGGGAAGTAACGTGGCAAAAGTCCACAGCTAGCGTGTCGACGGCAAACTGTGTCTACTTGGGGCTTCGCGCTTGCCTTGGCGGGGAGTGACGTAGAAGCCAGAAAGGCAAAAAGTCCACAGCGGGTACCGGCAGCGAACAACTTTACTCTTCTCAGCAAGAAGCTTTAGGTAAAAAACTTGTATACTGCTCAGCAAAACTTGTGTGCTCAGCTAAAACGTGTACTCAGCGAACTTGTGTACTACAACTTGTGGATTAGGAGTCGAGGCGTAGAGGAAGATTTGAAGTCCACAGCTAAGAGCGGGTGCCGCAACTTGTGTACTACGGGTGCGCTTGCCTTGGAGGGGATCGAGTAACGTGGCACGGCAAGGCAAAGTCCACAGCCGGAGCGGGTGCCAGACCGGCTTCGCTCAGCAATTCATACCCGAAGCCCAGGCAGGCAGCCGCAGCGAAGCCGCCGCCCTTTGGTCATGCGGGCATTCTGTCTAACAAACGGGGTTATGAGATTGTTGTGCACGGCTCGCGAGTCATTTCTGAATTAGCTACATATTTGACTGTGAGGGGGAGGAGGGAAGAGGGAGGAGACAAGGAGAAATCGTTGGGGATTTCGCCTTTGCTTCAGCTGCCATCGTAATCCTACCTCCGCTCTGGTGCAACCTTGGTAGGGCTTGACTGCGTGGCATCACCAGGGCAATGAGCCGCCGACGCGTCACAAGGCAGGCAGCTGCAGTCTCAACCCATAGCAGAAACAAGCACAAATGTAAAAGTCTATTGGTGCTCGACGCTTCAATGACCCGTCCTGTACTGATGTGCCCACAACCCTCTCAAGGCATGGTGGTGTAAAAGTCTATTAGTGCTCAACGCTTCAATAACCCATCCTGTACTGATGTTCCCACAACCCTTTGAAGGCATGGTAGTGTAAAGCTTGCCGAACATTGCCGAACGAACAGACTACCGCAAACCAGCCAAAGCCCTGTTCGGCGGAGGCAATGATGATAAAATAGAATACCTTCCCAGATCCCCAACGCCCGGCAAGCCGGCCAAGCACTGAAATGGCATAGCCAGGCAGTATATAGTGGGTTCCTATCCCATTCTCGCCATCCGTGTAACGCCTAAGCCCTCTTTGTATGATAACTAAAATGAACCGGGACTCCAAGCGTCTCCCGTCGAAAGTGTCTGTAAAAAGCAAAATACAAGATGGTAGGTATGAATCCCAAGGGGTGGATCTCAAAGGTAATCATGCAGCCGCAACGGCGAACGGCGCCGGCGAATTGGCAGCGGCCACACTCGGGGCGCTCTGCATCTCAACATGGGCTCCGTTGTTGCCCGCGTCGCTCTTAACTTAGCTGCTGTCTTCCTTGTTCTCCTTGCTGCTACCCTCGGCCGATGCCGGAGTAGAGTCCTCTGGCTTAGACAGTGCGACCCATTGCGAAATCTCCCACTCGTAGCCCGTGAAGCTCTTGATGGTGAAGGGTCCCTTGACCCACTTCCGGCACGGCTTTCCAGACCGATCAAGGGCTCGGAGGCCTGCGTTGAAAGCTTCTTGGTTCGCCTTGTTCGACTTGCTCGACTTGTTCGACTTGGTCGACTTGGGCCCGAGCTTGTGCGCAGCCGGGCCTCCGCCTCGGCTACCCTCAATGGTTCCATCCTCTCTGTGCATATGGTTAGCATCGCACATATGACAGGAGACCCAAGAAATTGACATAGGCATAGGGGGTAGTCGACTCGCGGCGAAGATGAAGGAAGCGAAAGTTTGGTAATCATGTCTACGATAACGCGTAAAAGACAACACTTACAGCCTCTGCTTCTTAGGGCGGCCAAGCTTTCCGCGGACCTTGGGCTCGCCGTTGCCAATCGCAGCAGCGCCAGCGCCTCGCTTGACGCCCTTCTCCTTCGGTCTGTTGGCAGGCGAGCCCATGATGGAAGGCTGAGCCGCGGGCGTGCTGGCAGGAGGAGTGTTCGGAGTGGAGTCCGACGCGTTCTCCGTGTTTGAATTCAGGGCGGTAGGGAGAGTCGTTGACGTGGCGGGAGACTCCTTGAGCTCACGCACTGGCGTCTCTTCCTTGACCGAATCGGGGTCGACGATGGCTCGCAGCTTCTCGGGCGCCGTCTTCATGGTGACGATGAGGCTGGGCTTGATTGGGTTTAGACCCGTCGTGATGCTGGCCGCCGTCGCGTTGGACTTTAGACTGTTCTTAAGCGCAGCGGCGTTCTTGCCGGAAGGAGGCATGTTGAGGTAAGCTCAGACGTGAGAGATAATTTTGCCGTCGATGAGGGCTGACGAGATTTTTTGTTATGGACGATGACCGAAAATGGGGAAAATGGAGAGGTGATGTGGGAAAGAGTGTTCGGTGAAGGAGGAAAATTTGGTTTGCTAAATAATGCTTTTTGGGGGATCACGTGTTGGTGCCTTTGGCTCTGGCTGCTGGGTCGGTTCGCGCTTGCTCCAGCGGGGAGTGACATGGAAACTAGAAAGGTAAAATGTCCACAGCGGGTACCGGCAGCAAACAACTTGGTACTGGTCAGCAAACTTGTGTTTAGCAAACAACTTGTATGCTACTTAGCGTACTGCTCAACACAACTTGTACTACTTAGCGTACTGCTCAGCACAACTTGTACTACTTAGTAAACAGCTTTGTACTGCTCAGCCAAAACTTGTGTACTTTTCAGCAAAAAACTTTACTGGTAAACGTATGATAAGCAGTCGAGGCAGAGGAAGATTTAAAAAGTCCACAACCAAGATCAGGTGCCAGCAGCGAACAACTTTGCACTTCTTAGCAAAAAACACATCTACAGGGCAGTCTTCGCCCTTGCCTTGGCGGGGTTCAAGGGACGTAGAAGCCAAAGGTCCACAGCTAAGTGCGGTGCTGATAGCGACAACTTTGTACTCGCAAGAACTTTTCGGCAAAAAACTTGGTACTGCTTAGCAAAACTTGTGTGCTCAGCTAAAACGATACTACTCAGCAAAACGATACTACTCAGCAAAACGATACTACTCAGCAAAACGATACTACTCAGCAAAACGTATACTACGCAGCAAAACTTGTGAATTAGGAGCCGAGGCGCGTGGAGGAAGATTTGAAAAACCACAGCCAAGGGCGGGTGCCACAGCAAACTGTGTCTACTGGGGGCTTCGCGCTTACCTTGGGGATCAGTGACGTGGCGCTGGCAGAGTGCCAGCCTGACATTTCCACCCGCCCCGTGCTAGCACAAGTTTAACTTGCCCTTATTTCGGGTCCTAAGACCGGATGACTAGGCTAGCAAGTTGACCACCCATGTTGTTTTCATGCTGACCATGTGTGGGATAAACCAGAACTGAATCGCGGGATCGCTACTCGAGGTGTACGACCGCCCGACCGAAGAACGAATACAGCACTCCAAGCGGGGCACTGTAGGGCGAACGGCAGGCAAAGATGCCCGCCAACGACGATTTGCAACTGCAGGCAGTCCTGCAGGATGCCGTGAACGAGACCAACTTCGACCGCGAGGCCTTTGCGAGAACTCACCCGCGTAAGAAGTCCGATACTGCGCTATCCGCATTGGCTAAGCAGATCGAGATGACAGCCATATCTACAAAGGTGGTTGGAAACACCACGACGCTTACTGCAGGCCGATCTCTCTCCCCTGCTAATGACCAAGTGAACATTCGTGATTTCAAAAACACGGATCACTGGCGAAGTTGACAGTGACAAATTTATAATGACCAGCGAAGATATCGATGAACATCTTCAAGAGAAGCTCTCTGACCTGGCTGTCCTCCATGTTCGCCGAAACAAAGAGGGTCCTGGCCTACTCTTTGGTCCCTGGCTAGGCCCTGACCAGATCACCTTTGAAGGAACCATAAACGTCAAGGATTTCGAAAGCCAGTCCAACAACCACCCGGATGAGCATTTTCGGGAGTTCAAGCTCCGTACTTTACTGGCATACTCTTGGTACGATCAGATGTCTCAGCTATACAGTATCGCCCGACACCAGTCAACCATTATCAGCAATATCAAAGAACGGGCCTTGTTGAGACTGGCACAAGCCACTCGCTCTGCCACTGTAGCAGCAGAAGCCGCAGCGGTCTCCCTGGCACACCGCCCTAGCATCGAAAACCCCGTCGACGATGCCAATAACGCGATTATCGCGAGCCTGAATGATGTCATAGCCAATAAGGATGACATCATACAGAAGATGCAAGATAAATCGACACCTCGAGTCGTATCATCGCCGACAACGCTACTAGCGGATCACTACGTAGTGCAACCCCTTTCTCCACAACTGATAGCACTACTCGTCGTAGCGCCAAGATCTCCGACCCCCCTGTTCTATAATGATAAGGACAAGATCACGTTTAACGCCTGGATGCGGCAGATTGAGAACAAGCTGGACGTCAACTCTGATTACTATGATAGCGACCGCGCTCGACAGTCGTATATCGAGTTCCGATTAGCGGGCAAAGCCTCGTACCAGTTGGAACCGTACCTCGAGGACGCCTACCCAAACCAGATTGAGACCTCAGAAGCACTCTTGACCTGGCTGAAGAATGAGTTCCGTGATGTGAACTAGGCCGAGGAAGCTACCGAGGAGTTTGAGGCTCTCCGTATGAAGACGGAATAGAACTACCACGACTTCCGTAATGAGTTTGTGAGACCACCCGGCGAGTGCCGCAAGAATTGCTCCGAGTGGAAGAAGGATTCAAGCGACGTCTCCTCCCCGTATTCCAGGACAAGCTGATCCGGGAATATATCGACGATACTGTTGACTTTGAGACGTACGCCAAGATCGGCGCCGAGTACGCTCTGAACCTCAAGTTGGCATATGTAAGGAAAGAGCACCCCAAACGCCCGGTCCGGCCCAGGCGCCACCAGCTGGCCCCAAACACCCGGCCCAGGCACCCGCCAGATTGAGCCACCTAACTATGTATATAAATAGTGGCCCTCGCCCACCTTCCTTTGCGAGGGCCAGGTTGAAGTCTTTTACCAATGCCAGTCATTGCTTGCCCTCTTGTTCCCTCCATCATGACCACCTTGATTAGGCGTACCTGCCTTCTCTTACAGCATACAAGGCCCGCCAAGCTGCCCGCAAGAAAGCCACCAACAACACACCCCCAGCACCTTGTCAAAACAAGCAACGCTAGCAGACCCGACCTCCGATAGCCGCCGAAGGAAACAAGACCGGCGGAGAATAGAAAAAATCCACTACTGAAGAGATCAAGAAACTGTACGCCGAGGGCCGCTGCTTCATCTGCAGAGAGTAGGGACATACCACCCGCGACTGCCCCTAGAAGGCAGGAGTCGGGCCTGACAAGCAAGCACGCCTACAGTCAATCATTGCGCGCTATGCTAGCAACGGAGGCTCGCCGGCCCTCGGTTACGAACGAAGGATCGGAAAACTAGATATCCTAGGGCAATTAGACTCCCTTCCAGGGGAAGTGTCAACGTGTAATATTACGACTATAGGAGAGGAGAAGACTGGAGTGGGGTTACTAGCCAAATACCTGGGTAGCCCTGCATTCACTGTTGGCTGTGAGATAGCGAGCAATGGACTTTCTTTGACTACGGATGATGTTTTAGTCGATACGGGAGCAAACGGATATATCTTCGTGAGCCGTGACTTCGCAAGAAAGATACAACGGTTACTTCATATCTAACCCCATTACGGATCCCGCCCCGAGACTGGTAGGCGGGTACAACAACAAGTCTCAACACATTATTGAAGAGCTACTAGAAGTCTACCTGGTTGTCTAGCATAAGACGATTAGGGACAAACACTTGATTATCGTGTGCTACGTTCACGACTTAATGATTGGCCGGAAATGGCTCGACTACCACGACGTACTAGCTGACGTACGAGGCCGTCCTCTACTATTTCCCGAGGAATAGAAATTTAACCCAAGCTGGTGGGCCACCGTTCCGGTAGACTAGTCGGAGCCTAAGCCCCTTAACCCAAATTATTAAGAAGATGCCCAGAGAAGAGAACTGGCTATAGAAAAGGAGGATAAGCGCTGGCGTGACAGAAGACTTTTACGCGCACGGATCAATGAGTGGGAGCGGCAGAAGTCCGCCGGATTCACTGTAGAAGACCCACGTACGTCGGAACCCGTTATGGCGATGCCATTCTTCCGCCCAATACTATTACAACGGCTGGCTCGACAGCTGACTGGCGATCGTAGAGACTGGGAGCTGAACCTTATGGAACGACAGCTCTATGCCCCCGACCCTCTAAAGCAAGCACCACCACCTGTGAACAAAAGGGACCCATTTCCAGAATATGATGGGCAGGGCTTGTACCGCTTGCAACGTGACGGCATAGGCTGTTATAAGGAGAGGCCCATCGAGATGGCGGTACTAAACGAAGCTGCCTTCAAACTAGCCTCTAAGGGTGAGCAGGTCGACATAATAACTGTAAGGAAAGGACACCCCAAACACCAGCCGCGCGCACAAGGTGCGCGCTCACCACCTGTTACCAACTGGCCGGAACACTGCCAGTTGGCACAAGCCACTACGCCACGCCATGGCGCCCCGGGCCTGAGCCCCTGAGCACGTAAATAAACAGTGGCCCTCGCCCACCTTCCTCTGCGAGGGCCAGGTTGAAGTCTCACACCAATACTACTCGTTGCTCGCCCACCTTCTTACCTGCATTGTGACCACCTTGATCCGGCGTACCTGCCTTCTCTTACATATACTGAGGCAAGGTTAGGGTGGGGCGGTGGGCATTGACCTCTGAAATGGATGGAAATTAAGAGATGAGGGACTGAATCAACGATAAATGGATAGACAAGACCCTCACGTTTGGCTTTTGACGTGGTGCAAGGGGCGGTGTGGTTGGTATTAGCGAGGCAATTGGTCGTTTCATGAAGATTAAGGTGTGGAAACCCCCTCTTCTCTCTCTCTCTCTCTCTCGGCGCGCCGTCGTCGGCACGAAGCCCTAGAAAAAGCCGCAGATGCCGCGCTCGCGTGCGATTATGGGGACGGCGTGGAGGAAGCCTTGCAGGCGCGGCGTAGCGGACTTGCGGTCATCGATGCTGCGGTGGGAAGCCAATGGTCAGCCAACTATGACGTCCTAGGAGCAGGGTACCAGAGACCCGGGGCGGGTAATATCTCACAGCGTAGTCTTGGTACTCTCGGTAGGTAGACGCCTTGCTGTGCACCTAGCAGAGGCAGCTGCCGAGATGGCTGCTGGTAATTCTGTGGGTCTGGCTGCTGCTGCTAAGTCTGTTGGGGTTGGTAGGGTGATGGCGGCGGCTGACATGACGGCTGTGTCACGGCGGGCGCCGTGGTGGTGTCAATGACGTAGTGCTGGAGTGTGGTCTGTGCATACCTATCACGTGGTCCGCACCATACCTAGAACCCCGCGACTTGCCCGCTCCCCGCAACACCTTCCTTTTCCATCCTTAGCTTTAGATTCCACAATATAGGTTACGGTTATACTGCGTGTTATGCCAGCCGAATCCTCTCCTTCGTGACAGGCTGCTGGTGTGGCGGCGAAGGGAACTGGTGGTGAACGGCTTCGAGAACACAGGGCACCGCGGGAGGACAGCCCCGGTTGTCGTTCTCGTCGCCTGCGGCGCGCTGGCAGTGCGCTTCCTGTGATTTCTGTAGTCTCTTAACCGCCAGAGGCAAAAGGAAGGGGTCAACTGAAACGATGCCTCCGGCTGCCCTCCGGGGGCGCCTGTGACGGGTTGCTCGCTGCGCTCGGAGTCGGCTAGGCGCTCGGAGTCGGCTAGGAACTGCACAGCCAGGGGTCTTAGAAAACCCCGTGGCCGCTGAAAGAAGCGAGTAGAGATGAGGGTCTGTCGCATCGCATGCTAGTCTCGGTGTGGAGTGCTGGGACACAACTTGAGCTCCTAGACAGTTCCCATACCGGCCCGTTGCAGGTTGTCTAGGCAGCAAATAGCTTGTTCGAGTTCCCTGCGGAGAAAGGCAGCCTAGTCTAGTTAGGTGACGGCGGCATGTATGCTTACTCCATTTTTCTCCTATATTATCCAACATTGACTAGCGCTATCCTTGATGTCCGGTTCGTATTGCAGAGGAAGGCTGGTTTCACCGTTATATATGGGATAGAGAAGGGGGAGAAAAAGGGTATAAGACGTCATAGCCCAGGGTCAATGAAGACTCCCTAGAGCAATCCATTTCAAAATTCCATTCAGCGCCAGGCAAGAAATACACCTCAGGCTACAATAACGAGTCGATAATATTACAAACATCAAAGACTAGACAATAAAAAAAAATTACAATTCATATTGACAGTATACTCTAATTACCATCTGCCAAAAAAAGCCTCGCTTCTCTCAAAACGACTTCCGCTGCATGTTCGACAATTGCCTCAGTCTCGGGCCGTACGCCGGCGTACTCGGCCCTTGGGCACGGTACGCCGTGGCGAGCTCGCCTTCAAACCAGCGGACCTCCACGACACTATGGATCGCCTCACTAATCATGCGGACCAGCATGCGCACCGGCGCGAGCGCGTCGCCCGCATCTCTCTGGCGCGTATACTCGCCCGAGGCCGAGGCCACGCTGGGCTGCGTGGCACGCCACGGCGAGTTGACCGCATCAAGCCGCGCGTCGAACGCTACGCACATGCACTGGCGCGCACGCAGAGACTCTTTTCGTGTGGACGGGTCGTTGTAGCCCGGCACGTCGTTGGGGAACGCCGTGTGCGTGTCGATTTCGTCTTCTTCGTAGACCGCCATGATGGGCGGGTAGCGCGGCATTGTCGCGAGCGAGTCTGCGTACACCATGTCGAAGTCAAGCAGGCACGTCGGGCGGCCGGTGGCTTCGTTCACCAGTACGTTCTCGGACGAGATGTCCCAGTGGTGTAGGATGAATTTGTTGGCGACGCGGCGGGCATTCTGGAGCGCTTCGTTGGCCTCGGCAGTGGTTTCTGCGTTTGGCGACAGAGGCCGCAGCACGCGGTCGGCGAGCGTCTGGAGCATCTCGATACCTTGGAGCTGCAGGCGCAGCGTCGTTGTCGAGAAGCGGCCGGCCTCGATCGGCATGTGCGGCACGATGTCGCCCGAGTCGACGGCTGCCGCCTCGCACTTCTCGTAGTCCGCCTTAAGGTCCCGCATGTACTGGTTAAGGCTCTCGACGGCCGTGTGGCGCTGCGAGCGCTCAGAGTCGGACTCGACGGCCAGCAGCGACCAGGCCACGGCCTGCTCATCGGGCGTGCCGTCGCTGCGCGCCGCCGCCTCCCAGTCCCGCTGCGCGAGCTCGTCCTTGGCGTCGAAATACTCGGCGCGCAGGGCCTGGCGCGGGTCCTTGGCCTCGGCGCGGCGCGAGGTCAGGATAGCGCTGGCCAGCGCGTGCAGGCCGGGGTATGGCCCGCGGTCGAACTCGTCGTAGTCGTCGCGCCAGTCGCCTACGGTCAGGTCCATGATGGGCGCGCCGTGGGTAAAGGCCCGGTCCCCGTCGGCGAGCCGCGGGATCTTGAGCAGCCTGCACACTTCGTGGTATGAGACCAGGCGCGGCCCGCCGATGGACGGCAGGTTGATGCGCGCCAGCTGGGTCACCCAGTCGGCGATGGTCTCGGCGATCCTCTCGCATTGCTCCAGGGTCAGGTTGGCCTTCTCGAACTGTACACCCTCGGCGCGCTCCATCAGGATCCACTCGTAGCCCATCATGGTGTCGACGGATGACTCGAAGGCCAGCACGCCTGGCACGGGGATGGACGTGTGATGGCGCACCCACAGCATGGCGGCTACCTCGGCGGCGACGCGCGAGTCGCGCGCGGTGACGGGCTTGGCCACGCGGAACACGAGCTCGCGGTGGGCAGCGCTGTCGGGGTCGTGGCATGGCGTGATGCTGAACGCGTGGTTCCACACGCCGTGGCCGAGGACACTGAACCGGGCCGTCTCGCACAGCTTGTCCTTGTCGGATGGGGCTGCGGCGCACGTGCTGCAGCACAGCTCGAGGTAGCGGAGGACATGGAACACGACCTTCTCGGCGCGTAACTTGATATCCATCATATCCTCGACCCAGTCAGGCTCGGGCCCGAATGTGCCGCCCCATTTGACGCGGCAGATGCGGTTCCGTTCGGGTAGAGCGGGGATGTTAGTCATGTTGGCGGTGTGGTCGAAGACTTGTTGTTGAAGAGCCTGCGCGAGGTTGAATGACCGACTTTTTAATAGCGTGAGTGTGTGCTAATCGGTGGAGTGAGAGAGAGAGAACGAACGGATTTGATGTCTTTTTATATATCGCGCCGGGCTGCGGAATGACTGTGAGGGTAGCGTTGTATAATGACTCTATTGTCGGGACAATTCAATCTCAGCCGTGTCCAGAACAAAGCCGTTGTTTTCATTCTGGCTTGTTAGGCCCGGACTTGTTTTTCGGTTTCCAGACAGTGGGTCGGCCCCAACACGCCCCGCGTTGGATGTGTCCGTGATGCCCTGTGCACTCGATGATATAAATGAATGGATTCCAATTCCTTAGAGCGGCGCAACAGGTCGAAACCGGCCAGAAGGAAGCTGGATAATATTGGTGCGCGATGAGGTGAGAAGAATTTAGAACGGGGATAGAGAAGGACTTATCCGGTCAGTTGCAGCTCCCCTAAGCTCGGCACCTTGCACGTGTGGGGGTGTTTTTTTGAGAGGGAAATATTTGAGAGGCCACTCCACTGCGCACTCTGGCAATCCCGCACCCCCGCACTCCCGCATTCAGCGGTGCGACCAGACCTTGGCTGAGCGTTGTTTGAACGACGACACGTGTACTCGGTGCAGACCAGGTGGCCGCAGAGGCATAACAAATGTGTTAACAGTTGGCAGGCGTCCAGCTGGTTGACGCCAGGGAGGTAGGAAACGTTTTCTAAAATGAGAGGAAGGGGGGTTTTTTTTTTCCTTCACGCTGCCCTTCCGCGCCCACACGGCGGGCCCGCGCTCTGCCTGTCTCGCCATTGTCGCCGTCCTCACTCACATCGACGTGCATGTGTCAATGCCATAATCAGCGTACGGGTAAGATACCGTGCGTGTTGCGACCATAGCTTATGATCGGGACTTATTGGTCTCCAGCCCACACAAAAACTCCCCCGCCGCAGGTGTAAGTAAGAAACGACTAGGTTAGCGCGTGCGGCTCTATAGGCGGCTCGGTTCACGGCTCCCAGGCCAGGAGGGTCCTCGGCTTCGTCCCGCCCGCGGCGCAGCTCGTCGAGCAGGGGCGCTGCCTTGGGCTTCTTCTGTAAGGACTCGATTTCCACTTGCTCCAGGCTTTCCAGGTTGCCACTTGGACAGGTATCTGTGCCTACGATAACTTCTTTTTCCTTCCTTAGCTTTGAATCTACATTTGTTACTGCCTACAACCTTTGACTTCCCTACCTTCCCGAGGCAGGCCGTCACAATGTCCGTCTTCAAGCAGCTCAAGGATAAGGCCGTCGCGTAGGGTAACGACATCTACCTGTAGCTGTAGGCCGAAGCGCAGCAGTTTGTTAGGCCGCCCGCCAACGCTTCGCCATATCTGCTTCCGCCTAACCCCTACTCCGGGCCTCCCAGAAATTTACCTCATGGCCAGGCAGCGCTGGCGGCAGGATATTACTATGGTCAGCCCCCCCCCGATAACCTACTCCGCCCACCCCCTGCACCTAAAGAAGCGTCAATATCGCCACAATAAGGAACTGGAAACCGAGAAGAGACAGGAGACGGCTCCCGCTGCTAGCGCAGCGCCCCTTGTGCGCGCAAGCAGTGGACTACTTCGCGATGCTCATAGACCCGAAGCTCGAAACGATCCCACTCAAGCTCTGTGAGGACCCGTCCACCAAATTGGCCCTCAAGCAGCCAGAGCCGCCCAGAACCCCGGGCCTATCAGAAGCTGCCTCGAGGCCCCACCTACCCCACTGATAGATGAAAACTTATTCGCGAGCACGCGACGCGTTGTTGGACTTTTCCTTCTTTCCTTCCTCAGTTTAGAATCTTCGTCGATAGCACCCAATGGACTGAGTTCACCTCAATGCCTTGCCCTGGTCGTGACAAGAACATGGCAGTGAGCACGGCAGTGTAATTGGGAGCACGGCGGGTGGCGGGGGCCTGGCCAGGCTAAGTGCAGCGGCGGCGCACGGTTTGCAGAGCGCCTTAAGCTCGGTAGCTACCGTGACAATATAAATTCTGCTGCGCGCGCTCGCGTTTACTGATTTTGTCTGTAAGCATGACCCAAAATGACACCCAAAAAGACCACGTCCGCCGCGATGTTGGCCGGCCTCAAAAAGGCGCGCGCCGCCCGCGCGCGCAACCGCAAAGTCGCTGCCGCCCGAAAGGGCAATAGTTCAGGTCTCGTCGCTGCCCGAGAAGGCAACAGTCCAAGTCCCGCCTCGGCGGAGAAAGTCGCCGCCGGGCGTAAATCGGTTGCTCGAAAGAGCAAGAAGAAGGCGTATGTTGAGCCTCACAGCTTCGTCTCGTATCTGCTAACAGCCTCAAAATAGAGTCCAGCCTGTCGGGCCTCGTGCCAAGCCTGGTTTGAAGGGTGAGGAGAGCCTCGCCTCCGCCGTAAGTTTTTCCTTGCCCTGTCACGTCTGCCTTGCTCTGTCGCGTCTACTCTGTCGCGTCTGCTCTGTTGCGTCTGCTCTGTCGTGTCTGCTCTATTCATTCTTGCTAACTAGGTGTCGAATAGGCCGTTCGCCGCACCCGTGCCGCTGTCGCCGTCGTCATTCTCGACGACACCGACGACGAGGACGAAGACAGCCAAGACGAGAACGACGAGGAGGGAGCTGCCGAGGGCAGCGACGACGAAGAAGAGAGAGCTGCCGAGGGCGGCGACGAAGACGACGAGGGAGAGGAGGAGAGTGAGGGGGAGGAGGACGACGAGAGTCAGGAAGACAACGAGGAAGAGGATGACGGGGCCCGCTTCGGGCTGACGCGTGCGGGACGCATTGCCCGCACGAAGACGCTCGCTTGCGAGCTCGTCTGCGAGCTCATCGACCTGTGGGCCTAAGGCCGGTTTTACGCGAGCGGCCAGCGCGCCCTAATGCGAGTTCTTTACCAGGCTCACCGGTGCCGGCGCGCCCCTACAGGCTTGTTACCACTTTTTCTTTTTCCTCATTTTAATAAAGGCGCCTTGAGTGCGGGAGCAAGGCAAACAGTTATACTTCTTCAGTACTGAAGCGCAAATCCTCTGCCTCTCGGCCCACACCAACACGACCCTCGGAATCAGTCTCGATTAATACCGATTCCGAGGACTACACTCTATCAGTCTGACCAACCCAGAATCGAGCAACATCGTTTTTTGTGCCTTGACTAGAATCGAGCACATTGTCTGTCTTGACCATTGACAAAAATGTGCTACTGGCTATTATTCTCCCTCTAGTGACCTTGCTGTGACCACCGTACCTGCTTTCACTGGCAATGCCTTGCATCCACTGTCCCACAGTTCACGGGCTAGCCAGCAGGCACGAGCCAACGGCGTCAGCCAAACTGTTTAGAAGTTCAACGCAGTTGGGCATTTTCTCTCCCTTGTCTCTCTGTATTTTTCTTCATCAGTCTTAAACAAATGGGTCAGCCCGACTGTTGGGGACACTGCCGAGACTGTTGACGACTTTCGAGCGAGTCCGTTCAACCGGGCCATTTCTCGCCTTTGTATCCCATCTTCAGTCTTGCCATTCACAAGAAGAGCCACCGTCTGCTATACTTTTTCTTCTTCATCTAATCGGGCCATTACTATACCAGCTACAGAAGTCAGTCTACATCAGTTTCAAGTGCACAGTTCACTAAAAAACGTGGTGGATTGCTCGAGATCTATCTGCCCGCAGGCGAAACATGTGTGGGGGATTGGGAGATAAACACGCGCAACTAATAACAAAAACCCGACTCTGAATGAGCTACGGCGAAATGCGACCCTGTGTTGCCAGTTCACCATCTACTGCCCTGCCAGTTCACCACCTCCTGCGGGCAGTTCACCACCTTGTACTGCCCTGCCAGTTCACCTTCTACGGTCCTCCAATCTTGTCCAGAGCGTGCTGGATATCCCTCAGGCGTGCTCCATATCCCCAATGTAGGATGGCTGCCAACCACTGATGGAGGCGTGTAAAGTGCTCAATGCTCGACAGCAAGAAAGAGTCCACCCGCTAGATATAGAAAAACTAATTTCCAGCCTCCTCGACTCCCCACTGATTTCCATCTTCTTCGACTCTCTACACAACATACAGCTGAGCGAAGTTGTTGTTAATAGCCTGGCTGTAGCAGCGATTGTGAATATAATCGTCGATTCCGGCATCTTCGAGTTTCGCGTTGAGTTTGTTCATAGCCTGGATGCAAGCGGCCGAGCTAACAGCTTTGTACTCAGTACAAAACTTGTGCCAGAGGGGGGCTTCGCGCTTGCCCTGGCGGGAATCAGACGTAGAAGCCAAGAGGCAAAAAGTCCACAGCTAAGAGCGGTGCCGGCAGCGAACTTTGTACTGCTCGGCAGGAATTTGTGTGCTTTTCGCAACAAACTAAGTGCTACCCAGCAAAAACTTGTCTACAACTCAGCGAACTTATGAATTAGGCAATCCAGGCGCGTGGAGGAAGATTTCTACTCTCCAAATAACTTGTGTACTTCTCAGCGAGCAAGTTTGTACTGCTCAGCAAAAACTTGTGCCTAATAGGCAGAGAGCTTCGCTTATGCCTTGCTTGCCGGCTCTGGCTTGGCGAGGATCAGTGACGTAGAAGCCAAAAGGCAAAATGTCCACAGCCAGGAGCGGGTGCCGGCAGCGAACAACTTCAGCAAGAAACAAGTGTCTACGCAGCTAAAACTTTTGTACTGCTTAGCAAAACTTGTGTGCTCAGCTAAAAGGTATACTACTCAGCAAAATTTGTATACTACAACTTGTGAATTAGGAGTTGAGGCGCGGAGGAAGATTTGATATAGCTTGGCACATGTTTTCAGGCCACTAGTGGATCTATGGGTTCTACTCATCTAGACCATCACCTTCTATATAATTCCGCGGTAGCCCAGATAGGGAGTCTTGCTCCAAGCAATGCAGTCATCCGTTTCCTACCAAAATCTGTTGTTAGAAAACGCGAATGGAGTCAACAAGGCCAACGGCTGCAGCCGTCTAACTGTTAACCACTACTCCACAGCCCTCTAAAACAACAGAGAACTCGGGCATGTGAAAGACTCCCTACAAGGTAGCAGACCTAACGATTTAGCTAACTAGATTTAACATGGAGAAAAAAACTGACAAGGCACAACGAGAGCTGTTCAAGAAGTTTGCAAAAGGCTTCAAAAGGGCGTCGACTTGGCATTACTTGCCCCGAAGTCGCCGTGTTGCGGGTGAGTTAGAGCTTGCAAAGAAGGCTGTTACTGCAGACCCGAATAAACGCTTTGTTGACACTACAAACATCAGACAGGCGCAGATTGAGGCCGGGGCTACTCAGGAAGGCCCTCTAGTATTGTTTGCAAATAGCTTCATTATGGTAGTAATCCAAATCTTGACCGTCCCTGGCTAAGTTCCTCCTCGGTGAGATTAAGACTTTCTATAAGTTTCTTGCTAAGTTCCTCCTCGGTGAAATCAAGACTTCCTGTGCGCTTCTTGCTGAGTTCCTCAGTGAAATCAAGACTTCCTATGAGCTTCTTACTGGATATCCCTTTATGGGAATTTTTCAGACTTCCCATGAGCTTCTTGCTGGATATTCCTTTATGGGACTTTTTCCAATGGTCCTCTCGTCCCCGGCTATTTGAGACTCGATTCTTCCTCTTCCAGTTTCTTGAGCCTTGTCATTAAATCTCTCTTCTTGTCCTCGATCTCGTCCAACTTCTTCTTCTTCATCGCCTTGGCGTCGAGTCTCTCCCGGATTATCTTCTTGACGTCCACTATAAATTCCGTGCTGATGTTGCACTCGTGTACCTGCTCCTTGAGATCTTCCACCTGGTAACTAAGGTCCTTCGCCTGCTCCTCTGCCTTCTCTAGGCGTACGATGAGATAAGAGACCTTCTCAACCAGCATGGTGTAATTCTTGAGTTGCTCCTCCTGGTTCTAGATGCTGACTCTGAGAGTAGCTACAAATGGTTCGTTTTTCTTTTCCGTATCGATCAGACCATTGTGGCTAACGAGGCCTCCCATAACGCCGGCTTTCTCCGCCTCCTGCTCAGCCTTGATGAGGTTTGCCTCCCGCTCGATGAAGTCGGTATAGTGAGGTGCTTTGCTATCTCCCTACATATCTGAGCCGTCCGACACGTCTGAGTCGTCCGACATGTCTGAGCCGTCCGACACGGTTGCATGGAAGTCCGACATAGTTGGCTTGGGTTTGGTCTGGACCGGCTAGGGGTTTGGGTCCGACATGTCTGGGCCGTCCGACATGTCTGGGCCGTCCGACATGTCTGGGCCGTCCGACATGTCTGAGTCGTCCAACATGTCTGAGCCGTCCGACACGGTTGCATAGAAGTCCGACATGGCTGGCTTGGGTTTGGTCTGGACAGGCTGGGGGTTTGGGTTTCGCGATTTCTCCGAGGCCGTCTCTATGTTTGCGAGGGTGATTTTGCCGATTGCGGACTTGAGAGAATGGCAGTGAGCGATGATGTTTTGCTAGATGCAGGGTGTGCAGAGATGCCGCAGTGATGAAATGGGGAGATTTTGTCAAGGAGAGCCGCAGTGAGCGATAATGATTTTGCTAAACGCGGGGTTGTGCAGAGATGCCGCACAGATATTGTCAATGAGAGCCGCAGTGAGCGAGGGCTGAACGCGGGGTTGTGCAGCCGCACAGATATTGTCAACGAGAGCCGCAGTGAGCGAGGATGATTTTACTGAACGCGGGGTGTGCAAAGATGCCGCACAGTGATAAAATGATGAGATGTTGTATGGCTTGACACATGTTATCAGGCCAACCGGTGGATCTATCGGTTCTACTTATCCAGACCATACCTTCTAATCATATAGCGAGTCTTGCTCTAAGCAATACAGTCATCCGTTTTCACCAAAAGGTTATGAGTCCCTTTCCGCTTCCACTAGCCAACAATAAGCCCAACACCCGCCCGAGCAAGACAACAGCCCGCCCGACGCCAGCAAGACAGCTCGATGCCAGCACAACGCCAGACAAGCCGCAACAACCGCTCGCGTGCAGCCACCAAAGTCCAACAGCCCGCGGACCCCCTGCCTTGTACACAAGCTGTAGCACCCGCTCTTGGCTGTAGACTTCCAAATCTTCCCACACGCGCCTCAACCCCTAATTCACAAGTCTTTACTACGTAGCACACAAGTTTTGCTGAGTAGTATACAAGTTTTAGCTGAGCACACAAGTTTGCTGAGTAAAGTTGGTTGCCGCTCCTGGCTGTAGACTTGTTGCTTTTCCGGCTTCTACGTCACTGATCCCGGCCCCCCCTGCCTGTAGTACACAAGCTGTGGCACCCGCCCTTGGCTGTGGACTTCTCGAATTTTGGTGGGAAACGGGTGACTGCATTGCTTGGATGAAGACTCCCTATCTGGGCTACCGCAGAATATGTATTGGGAGGTGGCCTGGATAAGTGGAACCTATAGATGCACCGGTTGCCTGACAACATGTGCCAAGCCATACACCCCCTCAGACCTGAATGTTACGATCCTGGTTCAAAGGTGCAGAGGGCGTTGCCCGCCCGCTGCGGATTGGCTGGAACGGCACTTAGGGTGGGGCTCTCGCTAAGAGAAGGTGCATCCAATTAGGGAGTGCTCAGTGGGGCCATTGCCAAGGTGCACTGAGCATGGCTGAGCTCAGTAGAATCAGTGCCGAGACCCACTGAGCGCACTGAGCAGGGAGCTCAGTGGAGATCAGTGCGTCTAAGACTGAGCACGACTGAGCATGTAAGGCAGGAACTCTGATTGGTTGCTCATAGTTCTATATAGGAGCTGGCATCACGCTCTCTCTGGAGAACGGTTCTGCAGCTATCAATGCATCTGGTTAAGCATACATTGGTTGTGTGTTGAAAGCCTGTCTTTCGCAATCTGTGCACGATACTCCTTGTCTCCTGTCATCTCCTACCTGCCGTCCAGACCCCCACAATCCTAGGCCGGGCCTAGCTCCGTGGACCTGTTCTCCAGATTGTAACACTGAACCTTCCAAAGTGAAGCTGTAAATAGTGCCCAAAAGCCTAAAATCGCTTTCGTGGTGTTTTCTTCCTTCCGGAAGTGGGTTACTGCGTTGCAGGGCACTTTATGTGTCAGTCCTCGCTGAGGGCTTTCTATGTAGAAACGCATTCTTGGGCCTTGGTAAGCTATTTGAACGTTTTCTGGCCCTCCAGTGCTCTGTTCGTTGTTGACTAACCAGGGCACTTTCCTTGCCTCCACTCTGAGCATTTTGACAAATTGTGAGTGTTTCTCGGTGTTGAGCGGCTTTGTAAGGCCATCTGCTGCCATTTCGGCCGGGGATGTGCACAACCTTGATCAGGCCCTTCTTCACCCTGTCAATGACCCATTTGTAGCCTATGTCAATGCAGCGAGTCCTAGCTATATTGAGGGGGTTCATAACGTTTATCTGGGCGTTTATACTATCAGTAAAGAACACGGTTGGAAGTGGTTGTTCAGCGCCGTAGTCCTTGAGCAGCTGATGGATGCACTTGGCCGTCTGTGAAGCGGGTCAAAGGTTCGTGAACTCAGCCCTTGTGCTGTGGGCTACGTAGGTCTGTTTCTTCGTCTTCCAGTAAGTAGGCGTGTAAGGAAACCACCCTCGTAACCACCATGGCCACCGCCACCAGGGCCACCCTCGCCACCATCGCCACTATCGCCACCGCTAACAAGGCCACGCACTATCGCCACTACCACCCTGGCTACGCAAGGATGACTCGTAACCCCTTTCACGTGTATATAGACCATGGCCTTCGCACACCTCTTTAGCTCAGGCCAGGTTGAAGTCTTACGCCAATACCAGTCATTGCTCGCCCTGCTTGTTGCTCCTATTGTGACCACCTTGATCAGGCGTACCTGCCTTCTCTTACAGGGAGCAAGATTTAAAAAGTCCATAGCCAAGCGGGGCCGACGGCAACAGCTAGTGTACTTGGGCTTCGCGCTTGCCGTGGCGGGGAGTGACGTAGAAGCCAAACGTCCACAGCAAGAGCAGGCAGCAGCGAACAACTTTACTCAGCAAAGGCAAGTACTTTAGGGTTAGGGTCGGCAAACTTGTGTGCCTCAGCGAACTCGTGATAAGCAATTTTACTCTAAAGATTTCAAAGTCCACAGCCAAGAGCGGGTGCCAGCAAACAAATTTACTTAGCAAGTGTCAGCAAACTTATGGTTGAGGACGGCATCCCGGTATAGGCCGACGCTGGCGGCCATTGCGGTACGCGATAGCTTCAGGAGCTCGTCCTTGGTGCCTCATTTGGTTGGTGCCGTGACTATGCGCTAAGTTGCAAGCTCCACTTGCATCTCTTTCCCTGATTGGGACTAGCGACACGTGACCACGCAACCTGTGGCGAGGTTACCTTACACATGACTGGGCACGTGGGCATTAGCCCCGCCCTAGGGATTTCGCCCACACATTTAGTAGGGAGATTTCCTCCACAAATTAGCTAGCTAATGCACACATTTTTGTCCACCCACAACACAACCCCACCTTACCACTACAAAAACCATAGCCTGTAGGACTTGCAGGCTTCTTCCTTTTCCTTTTCTTCCTCAACATGGTTACTTTACGAATTCAGCCATTCTTTACTTGCAGCCTTGCCTCTTATATTGGACTGCCTTTACAGTAGTCGCAATCCGCTGTGCCCGTCTTGGGTTCTTCATATTTGGAGATGTCGAAAATATCCTCAGAGCCAACCTATCGTCCTTCGTTCTGTGGGCGAAAATCTGGAATAGATTTTCCGAGCAGCAGAGGGTCCAACGTAAGGGTCTACCTCTTGTGCGCCAGCCGCACAACAACGACATAAGTTAGGTAGGGGGGTAAGCAAACACTACTGATTTAGAACATCCTGTATAAGCAGGAGTCCCAACTAACCCTCCAACAAAAGAAAGGGTGATCTTTTTATTTACAAAACTTCAATACAATCTTTGATATCCTCTGAATCATCCGCTTCTTCCGCATCTTCTAAAACCTCTGCTGCACGCCCTACAGCTCTCTGGGCCTCACGAATAGTCTGAATATTCGCAAAGGTGGTATTTGGATCTTCTTCAACCTTCTTCTTCTTTCTGGCTCTTATTGATTCGAGAGTGTGTTCTAGACCTTCAATCTTTCGCTTCCTAATAGCCAGTTCAAAGGCCTGTTCATCCAAAGCCTTACCAATCTTTCTGAGGAAGAGCTTATCCGCTGGCATTGCTTTGATGATGCGTGCGAACTTCTTTGCCTGCTCAACGTAATCACGTGCCTTTCTAGGAGTCCTCCACTGCACCCGATCGTCTCCATAATCCTCCAGGATTGGCATACGGAGTGTGCGAACCTCTGGGGTAACTATAGTAGTTCTTAAGGGGCGTGAAGTATTAGAATTCTTGAGGAGGAGTGGGCTTCTTAGCGGTTTGTTGACATTCAAGAGCCAAAGGCCTGATGCCTTCCATCCTGACTTAGCATTACTCTAGGTAATTGCCTCTGTGCGTGGAATCTAGTAGCATTCCAGAAACGCACGTTTTCCGGCTACAGAAGAGTCGTCAAAGGCGTTAGCAAGAAGGTCCTCAAGCCGTCTGCGATAAAGTCGTTTTAGGGGGCCAAATATGGCCAAATCTAGGGGTTGGAGGACATGGGAAGTATGGGGAGGCAGATAAATAATGTGAATATTGTTTGTGAATGCCTCCCACATATAATCGGCAGTTGTGTGGCTGCCATGGCCATCAATAATAAGGAGTCGTTTCTCAGAGGAGTTTGCTGGCTTGGTGAGAGAAATGAACACATTTTTTAACCATTTGAGGCTTGTCTCATCGGTAGTCCATCCTTTCTCAGTTGCTGTAAAGAACCAATCCTGAAATGGCTTCATATCCAAAGAAAACCATTGTTGTTAAACGCTTTTCCCCTTAAAAATGACCAAAGGAGGAAGGCAACGGCCAGCTGCTGAGATGCATTCGACAAAAGTGGTCCAAGTGCGGGTTCCAGGCTGTTTTTTTTGAAGCGCCTTAAAGGCACGGCTTCCAATGACAAGGCCGTTAGTTCCTCTGCCTTCCATAATACCAGATTCGTCCTTGTTCCAGCGATTCTCTGGCTTAATCGCCTTGATAGCTGGTGTTTGGAAATGGTTGAACCAAGGTCGAATTGTTGACTCTGTAGCGCAGTTGACGCGGACCGAATCGACTCTCTTGGCCCTCTGAGTCTTCAAAATTCGATTGCGGTTAAGAAAGGCACGGCACCACCCCTTTCCAAGTGGTAAGGAGTCCCCCCTTTCAGCTAGAATACGGCGTGCAAGCTCCCTGATCTGTGCATGTGTAGGGGGCAATCCTAAATCTTGTTGAAGAAGAATCCATTCGACTAAACGATCCTCTTGGGTCTGTGTAAGCCTTTGCTCATCTTGATGAGCAACATTTCGAGGTAGGGAGCCATGTAGACGGCCATAAAGGGTAGAGGGTGGAACGTTCCATTTTCGCGCGACTTTGCGTAATCAATGTGTTCTGACGGCTTCCTCGCAAGCCTTGCGGAGGTCTTCTTCTGTATATGAAACCATTGTCAAAAGAAGAATAAAACGAATTGAAGATGAAGAGAATTGGAAAAGAATTGGTTGAGTTATGGGCTTTTTATATAAGAGGGTTGGTTGTGTTCCTCGCTTATCTAGAATGTTCTGGATCAGTGGCGTTCGCTTACTCCCCCACCTAACTTATCACGATGCACTCGATGCGTTCTCTAGGTCCATCCGCTTGAACCCGGACATCTCACAAGTCTGGCATAACCTGGGTGCTCTGGTGAGTCTTGCCTTTACGACATGTCTATGTTGGATTTTCACTATGAAATATAGTATGAATCGTGCGACAACCAAGATAGCGACGCACTTATCGCATATCAAATGGCCCTCAAACTAGACCCGACGAACGAAAGTATCAAGGCAAGGCTGCAGCTACTGCAGAACAAGCCAGCGAACGGAGCCCCACTAAGACAGGCGCCCAGCCCCTGGCAGAAGCATCAGCCGCCATATCCGCCGCACCCTGAGCAGGCTGGTCCAAACGGCCCTGAGCCTGGTCCGAACGGCCCTGAGCCTGGTGTCCCCGAGCCTGGTGTCCCCCTTGCTCTCTATCCGGACATGCCTTCCGATCCTTCAATGCACCGCGACCACAACCCGCGCTCGCCGTCGGTCGGTCTTAAGCGTAGACCAGAATGGGACGACAAGAGACAAGTAAAGAAGCCATCGACCGAGGAGAGCCGCGCTCGCATGCATGACGTGCGACATCGCCGCCCATCAACACCCCCTCACATCAAACCGCCATCCCAGTCGCACTCGGTGGTCGCTCGTCTGCTACTAACGCAGCCGCAGGGCCTGTCTTTTATGCAGCATGGCCCGTCTCTGATGCGAAATCTCATCCACGACGGTCCTGGACCTCAGCCAGGCCCCGTTCCAAAGGAATACCCCCCTGCGCCCGAGGAAAAGCGGATGGAGCATCCCCCTCTCACCTGCCCATCATCAACGAGCCCGAATGTGCCGCTCGTAAAATGGAGCTTGACGAAGACTATGATGAGAGTGGTGAGGAAGATTAGCAGGGGCTGTTTCTGGGCCTACTTCGGGCCTAGGGTCCGCCACGGGCGAGAAGAATGGGACCCCGACGAGCGCGAGCATCAACGGTATAATGGGGTAAAAGATAGAGTGTAGCTGAACCTGGTTCACAAGTCTTTCCTCGGTATAAGTCGTTTGCTAAGTAGTGTATAAGTAGTGTATAAGTCTTGCCGAGTAGTATATGAGTTTAGCTGTGTAGACAAGTCTTAGCTATATAGACACAAGTTTGCCGAGTAGTATATGAGTTTAGCTGTGTAGACAAGTCTTAGCTGTATAGACACAAATTTGCCAAGTAAAGTTGTTCACTGCCCCTGGCTGTACTTTTTCCTTTTGGCTTCCACGTCACTAATCCCCGCAGGCAAGCGCAAACACCCTGCTTGTAGTACACAAGCTGTAGCACGCGCTCTGGTTGTGGACTTTCGAATCTTCATTGTCTGATTCACAAGTTGTTTGCTAAGTACACAAGTCTTGCTACGTAGCATTTTAAGTTCGTTGAGTATACGTTTAGCTGAGCATGTAAATTTTTGCTAAGTGATAAAGTTGCTTGCTGCCGGCACCGCTCTTGGCTATACTTTTTGCCTTTCCGGCTTCTACGTCCCTTGAGGCCACCGCCGCTTCCAGTGTTGATAACTTGCGTGATCACACTCTTACACGACACCTTCCAAGCACCACATCTACGCTCGACGCCTTCCAAGCACTACATACACGCTCAAGATCATCTTCAACGCCCGATCCACTGTCTATACGCTCAAGATCATCTTCAACGCCCGATCCACCACCTGAGCTTGCCGCCTATCCATCACCTAAGCTTGCCGCTATGCTGATGGTGCCGCGGCAGAACGAACAGCCGCGTGTATCTGATCAACTAAGCCTCGCTAGTTGCCAAGTCTCACTTTCGACGTACTAGCACGCCGCGCTTGCCAGATGGACGCGTGGCGTCACTGTGCTTTCAGATGGAGTCGCGCTGCTATCTATGTTCCAAACGCTAGGGTCGAGGGTATATCGCCTCGGCCTCGAGGGTATACCCCTGAACCTCAAGGGTATTCATGGCCGAGACGAGGGGGTGATGGTGGTTATTAAATTCCCAGGCTCTGCGTTGGACTCGCTCACCTCCTGGCAGGATATGGCAGAGGCACGTCATATAGTCTCGTAAGACCTTCATCTCGTCACTCAGCTTAGGGTCCTCCTTGGATGATGTTGCCAATGAGCTCTTGGCTGATAATAGAAGGGCAATTGTCAACGGAGGGAGAATGTCGCTATTATCACCATACCCGGTTCCCGGAGACAGAGGGAGCAGATGACCGTCGGCGCCCAAGTTCGTTGGCAGCGTCGGCATCTTGAGTACTTTCGGGGAGCTAGGGATGGGGTTGTTGTCCGAGCCGTCAACCTTGGCTACCCCGGTACCCGGTTTCCGGAGATAGAGGGAGCAGATGACCGTCGGCGCCTAAGTTCGTTAGTAGCGTCGGCATCTTGAGCACTTTCAGGAAGCTGGGGGTGGGGTTGTTGTCTGAGCCATTAACCTGGCTACCCCGGTACGAGATGGCAGCCTGTCCTTGACTGAGGTCGATGGCTTACTCGACGAGCTTGGGTCAACTTCCAAGGCCGGGCCAGACTTCTCTCGGTTGTGCCGCATAGAAGGGTCCAGACGAAGAACAGACGTGTAAGGAAACCACCCTCGTAGCCATCATGGCCACCGCCACCAGGGCTACCCTCGCCACCATCGCCACCACCACTCTAGCCACGCAAGGATGACTCGTAACCCCTTTCACGTGTATATAGACCATGGCCTTCGCACACCTCTTTATCTCAGGCCAAGTTGAAGTCTTACGCCAATACCAGTCATTGCTCGCCCTACTTGTTGCTCCCATTGTGACAACCTTGATCAGGCGTACCTGCCTTCTCTTACAAGACGGCCGTCATCTTGTGCGTCGAATTTGCAGACGCCGAGCAACCAAGACTGCGGATCGTCTTATCACCGGTGCCGTAGCTGATGCAGCATATATAAACTTGTAGTTGGAGTACCGAACCTATGGACTAATAATGTCTATAGGGCGAGGGTGTATTAGCAGTGCTAGCGCTGGAAATGATACGATGCGTTATTACTCGATTCCACGACCGTTTGCTGTGCGAGTCTGCGGAGATGCATCCCCCGATGCCGCTTGACGATGCAACAAGGTGTGAACAGCTGTCATGGAAACAGTTATGGAAATAGGGTATGAACAACTGTCAAGGTGGAAGCAGCCTCTTGAAGTCTCGACCAAGTTAACTGCTGCGTTTTTCTCCATCTGCTCGGCCAAGTCAACTGCTGCGTTTCCTCATCTGCCCGGCCAAGTCAACCGCTGCGTTTTCCCATCTGCCCGGCTAAGTCAACCGCTGCGTTTCCGCGGCCAAGACCGTTGCGTTTCCTTCTTTATCTGTTCCCGCCCACTTCTCACTGCTTCTCTTCATGACCCGCCCTAGGCACCTGAGGAGCCGGCTGTTGTTGTGGCTGTTGCGCTGTTGCTGCATATGCTTCTGCTGGGAGCAAGGAAGGATGAAGTCTTCGCCCTGCTGCCTGGCCGCCCAATATGGAAAGGTATGGCAGGGCGTAGAAGGAAAAAGGAAACATGACGTCTTCGCCCGGCCGTGGTGTGGAACCCTCAGTTTTTGCTGCCGTGCACGGACTAACCTAGTTTCTTATAAAAGGAGCTGCCTGTCACGGCCGGCTTGGAATGAGGGCGGAACTCCTCTATTGGGCGCTATAGACGAAGATTCTAAACTAAAGGGAAAAGGAAAAAGAAGCTCAAAAGCCTCCCCTCGCGAGATTCTTCCAGGGCGTCTCAAGGTGGGGCTCTGGCTGGTCGGGTGGATCCACCCAACTGGCGTCTGATTAGTCAGAGCGTCTGGGAGGCCTGGAGGACCAGGCCCTCACAGTCAGTATCGCTGGCCTGGCTCAAAACGGTGTCGGATTCGCTGTCCGGCTCGTTCGCGAACGAGTGGGCTGGGCTCGGAGTGTCGTTGAGGAAGCGTTCGGCAGAGGGCTCAATTGACGACGACCGGCTCGTACTGTCGCGCTGGGGTGCCATATCTATCGATTTGGCTGGGAAATATCAAGGTTCTGCACTGGATTCAGACTCGAAGCAACAGGGGCGTCAACAAAGCTCTCTTTGCAATCGTCACATCGGTGGCCGATGAAGGCGGTGAGACTCCTTGGCAACTATACTATTCGTGGATAGTTCAACTGACCAGGCCTTCATGCAGTACTTCTTGGCCACAACGCTAGGCTACAGGGGTTGGCTGTACTCTCTTGGCACCGAACCAGCTGTCCTGTTCGCGAGAAGATCTGACCCCAAAGCAAGCGCGAAGCCCCTCTGCCTTGTAGATATAAGTTTTTGCTGAGAAGTACAAAATTATTTGCTGCTGGCATCCGATCTTGGCCGTGGACTTTTTAAATCTTGCTCCGCGCTTTGACTCCTAATTCACAAGTTGTAGTACACAAGTTTTGCTGAGTAGACACAAGTTTCTGCTGTGGACTTTTCAAAATACGCTCCCTTGAAAAAACCAATACGCGTAACGCGTAATACGCATTCTCACGATGCGCTTCATTTTTCACCTTTTCCACACATAACCTACCGACCTTCCTACAAAATCTTCCTGCTTGTATTTTTATTATTCTGTCCAGAGGACAATATTATTGCGAAACTTTGAAAAAAATACTATGTGAAATTGATAACACGCCTTATCGCCTTTCCGGATTGGCTAACCTATGTGGAAAAGTGGACCCGATTTCTCAGTTACATTCAATATGAGCAGCCCCTATCACGTGCCTATCTGCCATTCGGTCAGCACACTGTCTAAAATTAATGCAACCGGTATCATTGTGTGCATAACTCTACGGTCATCTTGAATCTGAAGCCGGATTTGTATTATAATGGAAATTAGCTGAGATATAAGCGTTTAAATGCTTTCTAGCGTGGTGGGGCGTGCGCAAGTAGTGCCAATACCAGGGTGGGCTTGCGCACGTGAGTGCCAATGCCAAGGGCTTACGTACGTGACTACGCAAATTGCCCTTTAACCTCCCTTCCTCCGTAGTACCGTTTTGCCTGTTATAGCCAGGTTATTCGGTATCTATGGCGGAGGCGGCTGCCTGCAAAGTTTGCCACACCTGCGGCGTTGAGAAGGAAATCGACCAATTCCGGTCGTTCCGAGGCCCTCGACGGATTGTCCTGGATTACGCAGATTGCCGCAATCGCGGCAGGCAGCAGGTAAGTCTATTAGACCTATCTTCCTTGATTTCCTTACTAACTTCATTTCTAGAGAGCCGCGTCAAACGTAAGAGTTTCTGCAGCTGCTGCCGTGACCTGCGGACAAGGTCCCGCCTTTGCGCCTCGCCAGAATCTCACCCACACCGTCCTTGCCCAGCGATACCACGAAGGCGGCCGTATCGCTACGGATACCCCCGAAATGGCTGCTGCTCGTAGCGAGGTTTCGGATATCTAGAGACGCCATCGCCTCAAGCGTCGCCACGGCGAAGAACCTTCCCAGACCCCGACAATGAATAACTTGCTTCGCCAGCAACAAGAGATCCCGGACCCCGCCGTCGACCTCCCACTCTCTACGCAATCGAGAGAGCCTAAGCGACTGGCTAACCAGTTTGAAAATATGGAAGTTATCGATAATAACCAGCAAGCTATACTTCCACAACGACGGCCACTACCCTCACCGTCTTCACCTACTCGTGGCCGTCTCCGAGGACGACCGCGCCTTGCACGAAACCCTGTCGGCCGACCCCGTGGTTCTCGTAGACGACGACCCTCCTCCGAACAACAACCCCCCCGCGAAATTGACGAGCTTCCCCCCCAGTTTACAGGGGCCGATTAGGAATCGCCTCTCAACGAGGAGGACCTCGCTATTAAGACGGAATTCGACAAGGCACTTGCTGCTGAGGAGATACAATACTGCCTACGCTGTAAAGAGCAGTGGTTCGACGTGGAGCCTAAGGCGGATGGGGTCTGCAAACGTTGCTACGATAAGAATGATAAGAAACGCCAGGACGAGCCTTTTTTCTTCTCTGCTGAGAACAAGCTGGATTTTGGCAGTATACCTGATGATTTACCCCGTCTTAAGGGCCTGATCTTCTTGCGAAAAATGAACCAGTTTTCGCCGTTTTTTGCGAAAAGAGGTGACTTTTCAACCCCTGTTGCAAGCGCTTACGCCAAGATGTACTGCATGGGGCCCTGGTTAGTCCAATTCGCCGTAAATAGAGTATTGCCAAGCCCAAGGAGACTCACCGCCTTCGTTGTTCAACGCTGGATGGTGTGTTCGTTGTCGTGGCCATATTCTCTAGTCTGGCCCGTCAAGCTGCCAGAATGAATAAAGTCGCCATGGGAGGCTTGTATTACAAACCACTCGACTGTCAGAGTCGTCTGTCTGTAAGGGAGCACGGGCTCCACAGAATGCTGGGTTGGTAATTATGAAGATAGAACAAAGGGCAAGCTCCTATCGCACGGGTAATACAGTCAAATCGGAATGCCACTCAAAGTGTATGAGTGCAGTGAATGTGTATTGCTTGCTTGAAGAGCCAAGCAAGAACTATCTAAGACCGGTGCCACGGTCATCGTATATATCTATCTAAGCTGGGCCAATTGGAGCGTTGCTCTGTTGCTCTCTGGCAGAGCTACAGAGCGTTGCTCTGTTGCTCTCCGACAGAGCTACATATTACAAACCACTCGACTGTTAGGGTCGTCTGTCTGTAAGGGAGCACGGGCTCCACAGAATGCTGGGGTTGGTAATTATGAAGATAGAACAAAGGGCAAGCTCCTATCGCGCGGGTAATACAGTCAAATCGGAATGCCACTCAAAGTGTATGAGTGCAGTGAATGTGTATTGCTTGCTTGAAGAACCAAGCAAGAACTATCTAGGACCGTGGCTATGGTCGTCGTATATATCTATCTAAGGCGGACCAATCAGAGTTCCTGACTCACATGCTCAGTCGTGCTCAGTTCCTAGACGCACTGATCCCTACTGAGCTCCCCGCTCAGTGCGCTCAGTGGGTCTCCGGCACTGAGCCTACTGAGCTCCCCGCTTAGTGCGCTCAGTGGCTCTCGGCAATGGCCCCACTGAGCACTCCCTCATTGGATGCACCTTTAAGCGAGAGCCCCCCACCTTAAATGCTGTTCCAGCCAATCCACAGAAGGCGGGCAGCGCCCTCTGCACCTTTGAACCAGGATCGTAACACTACAGAGCAGCCAACCAAACCGTTGCTCTGTTGCTCCCCGACAGAGCTAATGCGGGCCCTTCTGCTCTGTTCTCCACCGAACAGAGCAACTGTGGGTCCAAGCCCCTCCTTTAACGTGACTAGCCGAGGCGGGTCCAGCCACCCCTGCCCTGCTTCCCAACCAGTACGAACAGGGATTCGTGACAGCTTGTCGGTTAGAAGGTCATTCTATTTGGGAGCAAACCTCTACACAAAACAGATCACCAGCCAGCTTCACGACGTCCTCGCGCGCTCACTCGCATTCTTGTTACTTTTTACAGGCGTGGAACAGGGCCTGTTGCTAATTTTGGCTATTTTTTGCGAAAAGAGGCCCCCGAAAAGCGAGATTTGAGTATTCGCCAAAACTGAAAAAACGGCAGTATTCGGTCATCACGGCCCAGTTTTCTGGCTTATTGCAGTTAGCCACAGCTTGCATTAGCTCGGTTCATTGGCTTCATGGGAGGTTCAGGGGTGGCGGGCGGCTTCCCGTTTTTCCGGCGAAAAGTGCTGCCAAAACGGGGAAGCGTCCCGGAAAACACTGTCTTGGCATGACTGGGGTGCTTGCTTTTGGCGAAAAGCCATGAAAAATGGCCATTTTTCGCGAGAAGATCAGGGCCTGAAGCAGGCTTCTTTTCTCTGCATTGAAGCGATCCCGAACAACTTTTCGAGTTATATTATACGAGGAAAGAATCAAGGTAGCGGTCTTGTCGGCATTCAGGTCCATGCAGAAACAAAGCCTCGCACTCGACGAGGCTGAACGCAAGATTCAAGCGATACGTTATTGACGATCTGGGCGAGCCAGTAACCATATCCATCAATCCGAGAAGACGTATTTTTCTCGACCCAAATCTCCGGTTTGAAGCCCCCTCGCCATGTTCTTATTTTTGGCTGCTCGCTCATTGGTATATTTGCCAGCTCTTTCCCGTCAAACTGGATAACTTGTTCGTACTCCGTTGAAATTAGCGATTGCCTCTACATGAGGGCAAGAGCCCGCTTTTCGCCCGTGTAGAGGGTCGCGGCATTAGCAGTTGAGGCAGGCATCTAGTCGGCGGCTCGGGAGCAAGGTAGGGAAGGTCGCTGTGTAGGATTGGTAGGATTCGAGGCCGTTTGTTAACATGTGCCGTCATGGTTGCATCGCAGCGTCAACTACATGCCGAAGCCTGGCAGGCAGAGATTTTCCCGGGCCAGGAAAATGCATGGTTGGCCTTGGCAGAGGGCGCCCCGGTCCTAGGAAAATACGGAAAACCTCTGCAAAAAATGCCCTGGCGAATGGGAAATATCTGTCAAATGCCCAAATATTTTTAATCCACATCTGGCTGAATTTGAAGCCCAAAACCGAATATTTGGCTGATAATAGAGCCTAGATTTGATCGTTTGATTTGGCTATATTTGAGTTGGTGCCGGCGCTGGTTCAGCGTGCAACTGCCATTCTACGTAATGCTTTCTGGCGTGCACGTCTCATGCTGTTGGAATCACCAGGTACCGGTACTGGAAGCAATAGGGCGTAGCTGTACGCCGAAAACTTGTAGTTGAAGTGTTGATTGTTGATGTCTATCTAGATCTAAGAAGGAAGGTGGAAGTGGCCGCAGGCCACTTATTATTTAGGTTCGGTGGCCCTGCGCTCCTGCACTTCCACAGCCACATGTAGCTGCTTGCGCCTCTAACCCCACATCTGTGGCTGACTAGCGCGTTGTTCTAACACATGCTTTCTCTGGCGGCAAGTGCTAACCTACGTGTGCTCTCTGGCGACACCATTCTACGTGTGCTCTCTGGCGACACCATTCCACGTGATACTTTCTGGCCCAAGTAACAGTTGTGCGCAATTAATATATTCGCACGAGTGCAATTGTGCAGCGCCATGTTGTGGTGCAGTGCGGGCAATCGTGCAGCGCCATGTTGTGGTGCAGTGCGTGCAAGTGTATGCGTGCAACTGGCATTCAAAGTGATGCTTCTCTGGCGAGCACGTCTCATGCCTTTCTTTGGCAAGTGCCATTCTACGTGTGCTCTCTGGCGACACCATTCCACGTGTGCTCTCTGGCGACACCATTCTAGGTGTGCTCTCTGGCGACACCATTCTACGTGTGCTTTCTGGCCCAGGAACAATTATGCGCAACCAATATATTTGCGCGAGAGCTAAGATGTGTAAAGTGCTACTGATAAAAATCATTTTCTCCCAAGACAAGCGCCCAAGACACCCGCTCGTTCTCTACCGAATACCGCTCGCCTATGGCGCGCCGCCCAAAGAGAACTTGTCAAAAGAAACACCGCATGGCCTCGTCCACCATTGTCCTAATAAATGATTAATAAAGATAGGGCCTTGCCTTGTTGCCGGCCACAGAGTTGTAGCCGCAAAAAACTTGTGAAAGAATAACGAGGCGCTCCGTTCGCCGTTGGGGTAATGCTGACGGGAGTCAGATAAAAAATATCGCATCGGTCAAAAAGTGTCTAGTTGGTGCCCGAAGGCCCCGCCTCAGCGTACCCGTCCTCCTCTCTAATGGCAGCGAGAAGCTGCGCGGTGCGAGGGCGCCGCTCATTCGGCACCTGCCCGATGACTACAGCCGGGCTTCTGATAGCGTCCAGGTTCGCGGACATGCGCATAAAGGGCGTTCTCCGCAAATCCTTGACGATGTGGAGTTGCCGATTGGCAATGACGCCAATGGACCTGTGGTCAAGGTTCATGACCTGGGCGAGGACGTGAACGGTCCGGCGCTGGGACGGGGTCATGGTGTTTGGAAACACCATGACCCGTTGAATGTCGTTCCTCTTGAACAGGGTGAGCTGGGTGTAAAAGTGCAGGGACTCTGGGTTGTTCAGGTCGACATCGCCTGCGGCTAGTTAGCAGCGGACGAGAGACAAGAGACGGGGAGGGCAACAACTTACGCAACTTGGGCAGGGGACCAAACAACAATGGGCGGCGGCGTGGAAACGGGCGGAGCTGCGGATCGAATTGGCCTCGGCGCTCTTGTCTGCCGGCCTCAAGGCGCTCGCGCTCGCGCATTGGCATCTTCTTTTTGTATTCTACGCTGATGATGCGCTTGTGAACGGGACGACCGTCGAGGTTGTCAAACACGTAACTGGCTTCGGCCGGGTTATCGTAGTTTGCAAAGGCTAGGCCGCGGAACATGTTTTCCCGGTAATGGTAGTTGAAGGTCATTGGCAACGGCAATCCCAGATCGTCCATGAAGTCTATGAACTCCTCCCGCGAGAGGTGAAATGGAATGTTTTTGATGACCAGAGTCGTGAAGATAAACTCTGAGCTCGGCCTGTCGGGCATGATCTGGTTATTGTAGTCATAGACTTGATCGTAGTCATAGACTTGCTCGTACTGGACAGGTTCTGTTGGTACCTCATCCTTAGGGGGGCACCGTCCGTCGTGGAGCGGCGCCGGGAACCCGTCCCAGCGGTTCTGTCTGAGGGGCTCATATCCGTAGCGCGTGGCCGGATTATCCACGGGCGCGGGATATGGAGCGTCTTGTCTAGCGGGCTCGTATGCGTTGGGGGCTTGCTGCTCATAGTCGGGGGCATGCTGCGCATATGTATTGGGAGCGTGCTGCTCATAGTTGGGGGCATGCTGCTCATAGTTGGGGGCATGCTGCGCATACGCGTTAGGGGCGTGCTGCTCATAGTTGGGGGCATGCTGCTCATACTGGTTGGGAGTATACTGGTTGAGAGCCGCATACTGGTCGTAGCTGAGGGGCGCAAGGACTGGCGGATACCCGGTGACGGCGACGGGTGCATAGCCGGCGAAGCGCGTGCTGGGGGTATTGAGGATCTGGCTGCCCAGCTTGGGGCCCTCTGGAGAGTTCCATGCCTGCGAGGTGTTAGCAAGAGTGGGAGGAGGGAGGGGTGCGTGAGGGAGAAGTGCGTGAGGGAGAAGTGAGAGGGGGAGAAGTGGGAGGGTAGAGGAGGGAACTGACCGAGTAGACAGTATGCACCGATTGGCGAGACGCGGGCCGCGGCCGGTTGTCGCCCACCGCGCCAATATACGGGTTCTGGCCGTAGGCCAATGGCTGGGGCGTGGCAGCACCGTACGCAAAAGGCTGGGGCGTGGCAGCACCGGAGGTAAATGGCTGGGGCGTGGCAGCACCGTAAGACAATGGCTGAGGGGTGTCGCCGCCGTGGGACAATTGCTGGGTGTCGCCGCCGTAGGACAATTGCTGGGTGTCGCCGCCGTAGGACAATTGCTGGGGGTTGCCGCCGTAGGCAAACGGCTGGGGGGTGTCGCCGCCGTAGGACAATGGCTGGTTGCCGCCGTAGGACAATGGCTGGTTGCCGCCGTAGGACAATGGCTGGATGTTGCCGACATTGGGGAGGACATTGGCCTGGTTGATCACGAAGAAGCCGCCGGCAAAACTGCCAGCGTTTGGGACGAAGCCAGTGCGCACGAAGCTGGCCGGGTCCACACGAGGGCCACCGCGGGTGATGACGGCTGGGAGAACCAAGCCGCTGCCGCCGGGCGACGGGAGGAAGCTGACCGCGGCAAAGTTGGGCTGGTAGGAGCTAGCCGAGCTGACAGGCCTAGCAAACGATAGAGTAGGTGCCGATGGAGGGGGTGCCGAGCTGCCCGGGTTGCCGAACAAGGCGGTGCGGGCGAACTTATTGGTCAGGATTAACACGCTCTCGTCAGGCCCAAAGACGTCGTCTTCCTCGGCGGCAACGACGGTGATTGGCTGCGACGTGCCGAAGATATTGTCGTCGCCAGCGGCGAGCATGGCGTGGAGCTTGCGGCTGCGCTCACTGACGGGCGCCCAGGGTCTGGGCTGGGAAATGTCGTCCTCTTGGTTGTCATCCTCGTAGTCTTCATCCCCGTAATAGTCGTAATCCTCGTAATAATTGTCATCCTCATAATCATCGACATCCTCAACAGTGGCAGCTCGGCCCTTGCCCTTACTGACGCGACGAGCATGCCGGGGCGTGTCGCCGTGGGTGTTGGATGCAAGCGAGGAAGGGGGCGCGCGGCCCCCTGGGTGTTCCATGTGAGTGCCGGGAGAGAAGGCGTGGGTGCCAGGGGAGGCGTGAGCGCCAAGGGAGAAGACGGGCTGCTCGATTTCCGGGTCGTCTATTGCCGGGCCAAGGGAGGAGAGAGGCGGGTTGTCTATTTCTGGGCCAGAGTAGAAGACGTTTTGCTGGTCCATTCTGGCGGGTCAATGTGAAAGTGTCGACGGGAATGCAGAGACTGGAAAAGATGTCAGAATGCGGACAGAAAGATGTCGAGAAAGATGTCGACGGAGAAACGTACCTCAGAAACAGTCGCAGGCAGCGTCTGGCAGGCACAGCCAGAAAGTGTCGACGGAAATGCAACTGCAAAAGATGTCAGAATGCAGAAAGATGTCAGAATGCAGAAACATGTAAGAATGCAGAAAAATGTCAGAATGCAGAAAGATGTCAGAATGCAGAACAGAGAGATGTCGAGAAAGATGTCAAGAAAGATGTCGACGGAGAAACGTACCTCAGAAACACGCATGCACACCCGCAGGAACACGTCTCGCAGGGAATGCAGGCAGAGACGGTGAATTGCCGAGAGTGTCGACTAAAAGATATCAAAAGAATGCTGCGGTAGGAATACGAGGCACGCGCGGCGAGACGCGCCGAGAAGAAGATTAAAGAGAGAAGTCGACGGTGAAAGGTCGACCAAAGAAATGCTGCTGCGGGAACACACTGCCGACGAAAGAATGCTGCGGGAACACCGAACACGTCGCGGCACGCGAGAGGCAGGACGAGCCGGAGAAACAAGAGTGCAGAGTGAAGACACGAGCAAAGCAGTCTCGGCCGAGACGAAGCGCAGCAAAGAGCAAGTGCTGCAGGCACTCTCGAGTAGTGCTGCAGCACGGAAGTGATCACGAAGTGTAGATAGTCTGCGGGAAGGTGATGACGAGAAAGTGCTACGGCACTCTGGGTGAGTAAGTGCTGCGCAGCCAGAGGGTAGATTGCAGCGGCACTGGGGAGACGGAGAGGGTGTAGAGAAGAAGGTGGCAGGGGAGAAAGGTGGAGAAGGATAAAGATGAAGAGGGGCGACGAAATGGGGGTGTAGAGAGCGGCAGCGATGAAGGGAAGGAGCGAGGGTGAGGGAGAGGGCAGGGTGAGGCAGGCGCGGTAGGCGCGGTGGGAGCAGTGGGAGCAGTGGGAGCAGGGTAGGCATGGTGAGGTAGGCGCGGTAGGCGCGGAGGGAGCAGGCGCAGAAGGGGAGAGCACTTGTTTTTGCTAAAGGCCAGCAGCGGGCAGCCAGCAGCGGGCAGCCACGGGGGATGCAGGGCTTGGGGGGAAAGGCCAGCAGCGGCAGCCGCGGGAGATCTCGCTGGGAGCGATGCCGCAGCGTTTGGGTAGCTGCGGTTCTCGCTGGGAGCGAATGCGCTTAGGTAGGGGGTGGTGGTTGTGGGGGTGGTGTTCAAGAAGAGGGAGGGTGTCGGGTGGTGTTCAAGAAGAGGGAGGGTGTTGGGGGGGTGTCGGGGTGGTGTTCTGCAGGGTGTTCTGCAGGTTGTTCTTTGCGAGGGTTCCCGAGCATCTTGTTATCCGTGTTTCTGCGATCTGCATTGTCTGTAACATGCGCGTCCTCAAGCTGGTCATCCCAGATGGGCAACCTGCCGTTTGAGGGTGGCGGCACAGTCAACACGGCGGCAACAGCCAACACGGCGGCAACACGAGCGTCAACAGAAGCACAACACGAGCACAACACGAGCATCGTCAACAACCTCGCTGCCGCAACTTTAGCGAAACCTGCCATGCCCAAGAGTCAACGCAGCGCCGCCGCAACAACAGAAACACAACAACACGAGCACAACAGAAAAACAACAACACGAGCACATTAAGTGCAAAGTTTACTGGAAAACGTGGTGGATTGCTCGAGATCTATTTGCCCGCAGGCGAAACATGTGTGGGGAATAAACACGCGCGACTAATAACAAAACCCGACTCCGAATGAGCTACGGCGAAAAGCGACCGTGTTGCCAGTTCACCACCTTGTACTGCCCTGCCAGTTCATTACCTACTGCGCTCTTCGGATATCGTCTAGAGCGAACTGGATGTCCCTCAGGCGTGCTCCTTGTCCCCAATCGAGGATGGCTGCCACCCACTGGTGGAGGCGTATAAAGTCCCTCGTACTCGATAGCATGAAAGAGGTTACCCGCTGGATATAGAAAAACTGACCTCCATCCTCCTTGACTCCCCACGCAATATAGAGCTGAGCGACGTTGTTGTCAATGGCCAGGCTGTAGCAGTAATTAGGAACATGTCCGTCGAGTCCGGCATCTCCGAGTCTCGTGTTGAGTTGGTTAATAATCTGGATATAAGCGGCCGAGGCGCCGGCACACTGGTTCGCCACAACTCAGAGACTTCCTCCAGTCCCTGCTTCAGCCTTGAACTCGACGACCAAGAAAGGGAACAAGGGGGCCAAGGACTCCTGTGCGTAGTATTCAATCTCCTCGTAGAGCCAGCGTAATGTCGTATGCTATAGGAAGGTGAAAGTAGGTACGTGGGAATAACTACAGAGCAGGCCAGGGCGCGGTTATATTATACCCGTTTCTTCGTTGGGTAGGAGGTAGCGAGCTATATACGCGTCTCTCGATGATGATAAAGTTCTAGTTGGGTTGCGAATAGGAAAGAGACAGGTTTGGAAGAATCTGCGGATATCGGGCTCCCTACATCCCTCAAGCCTTTCTAGTTCGTAGACAGCCTCGACCACAACCTCGGGGGAGAGCTCAGGCATCTGACGCATTATAGAGGCCATATGATCGAGATGGGTGGCTACGGCATCGGGAAGCTGGTCGTGCGGATGCCGGAACATGATGCGGCTTTGGTCGAGGTGGTGGTTGCGGTAGTCTGGGTGGCTGACCCTCTCCATATCGCCGTCGTCGTCGTCATTCTCGTCGTCAGAAATGAAGTTTACCGTATTACCACGGTCGACGTGCTGGTGTTCAGCAAACCTGGGACCTCGTGGCCACTCCATGTTGGCTGCCATGTGTGGTATTTGTATTTGGCAAGACCGTCTGTCGGAGTCAGAGTGTGAGACATGTGTGGTAAAGAGAGGGGAAGAGACAGGCATCGCAAAGAGAGGGGAAGAGACAGGCGTCGCAAAGAGAGGAAGAGACAGGCGTCGCGAAAAGACAGGCGTCGCAAAGAGAGGAGAAGAGACGGCGTCGCGAAGAGACAGGCGTCGCAAAGAGAAGAAGGGACAGGCGTCGCAAGGGAAGGGGGTGGTATTTTACTTGGGAGACTTGGTGCGGCCAAGACTTATTGCGGCTTTATTCTAGAGGTTTTGGTGATGGGCGATAAAGCTGACGGCGGAATTTTGGCTATGGGCAATAAAGCTAAGCGCGGAATACGGCGAAGCGGAAGACGCCGAAACACGCCGGAACGCAGCGAAGCAGAACACGTCAGAACGTCGCTGAGCCACAAACGTGCAAAGCTTGGTGAAATTGCTACGAAGCAGCAAAACCGCAGGCAGGCTGGCAAGTCGTGTTGTTTCCACGTTGACGCCCAAGTCTTGTTGTTTCCACGTTGACGCGCGAAGGTTCTGTGCGAGCATGTTTGGAAAAACGAGGCCACTTTTATATTGACGCGATTTCTATTGGCTAGGGCAAGGTGCAAGGCATATTTAGAAATAAAGCCACTTTTATGTTGGTAGTTGTTTAGAAACGAATTGTTTAGAAAAGTAGGCCGTGTTTTGCACAAAGCCGTGTTTTCTGCTTGACGCAATACTCGTTGCTCAGTCCGAACCGGGGAGACGTAGCTGCCAGCAGCTCTGCCAATCCCACCACTCGCCCCTCGCCAATCTCACTACTCGCCCTTCTCCCAATCCCACCACTCGCCCCCCGCCAATCCCACCACTCGCCCTTCTCCTACGCCTCTGGTCGTCGCCCGTCGCTGCCGCCGACGTCTCGACCTCGGACTGGAAGATGAAGCGGGTCTGGCTGGGCCCCCTTAGTGACGAGCGAGCCGGGGCCGGGGCCGGAGCCGTCGCGTCACAAGAGCACCCAGGTACAGCACGCGCCGGAGCCGTCGCGCCACAAGAGCACGCAGGCTTCAGGGGACACATCCACCACGGTCAACTAGACCCGGCTCTAGCAAACATCTCCCACGACCCAAGAAACGACCCAGCTTCAAGGACATATACACCTAATCAACTAGACCCGGTTCTAGTGAATACATCTACCATGGCCAAAGAAACTAGACGCAGGGAACACATGCACCATCATGGACCCAGCTCTGATAAACACTGCACCACACCCAGGAGACTGGAGACAGGGGACACATGCACCATCATGGACCCGGTTCTGGTAAACCATGGCCAAAGAACTAGAGGCTTCAGGTGAACATCACAGAACAATCACAGAACACCAGAGAGAAATTACATCAGTCCAGCGAACACTAATTGAGAGACGCACGAGCCCGGCACGGCAGGTTGCCATGACTAAAGAAACAGGAGCTTCAAGTAAACACGTTCACCATGGCGGGCCAGGCTCTGGCAAGCACATGTACCATGGCTAATGAAACTAGACGCTTCAGATGAACATCTGCCACAACACAAGAAACTGGACCTAGCTTTAAAGACACATGCACCTGATCAACTAGACCCGGTTCTGATACACATCCACCATGGCCAAGGAACTAGAGGCCTCAGGGAAACACATGCACCATGATCAAAGAACTAAGCCCGGCTTCAAGGGACATAGCCAAAGAAACTAGCGGCTTCAGGGAAACACATCTAGATGGCTGGAGAAGCTAGACACGGCTTCAGGGGCCACATCTACCATAGCCAGAGAAACTGGAGGCTTCAGGGGATACATGCACCATAATAGACCCGGCTCTAGTAAACTATACATGACTAAAGAATCACAGCTAAAGAAACTAGAGGCTTCAGGGAAATACATCTGCATGGCCAGAGAACCGCTTCAAGAGGCCGATCGGGAAGAACCAATGTAGAAGCGAAAAGGGACTCAACCTCTTGGTGGGATGACTGCATTGCTCGCTGTCTGGGCTACGCCCGAGGTGATGGTCTGGATAGTGGTAACTTGTCAGCGAAAAACAAGTGTCTACAGGGGGGCTCGCGCTTGCCTTGGCGGGGAGCTGACGTGGCACGGCAAGGCAAAGTTCACAGCCGGAGCGGGTGCGGCAGCGAACAACTTTACTCCGCAAACTTATCTATAGGGGAGAGGGGACTGGACCGTCATAATGGTAAGGGCTTCGTGGTGGTATTGTGGGCCTCGAGAGTACGTGGGCTTTTGTATATGCCGCCAGGCATTATGGCGAAAATTTGACAATTTCGCGCTGCCTAGGCGATATGGGCGAAAGTGCGTATTGTCACGGCCGGCTTGGAATGAGGGCGGAACTCCTCTATTGGGCGCTATAGACGAAGATTCTAAACTAAAGGGAAAAGGGAAAAGAAGCTCAAAAGCCTCCCCTCGCGAGATTCTTCCAGGGCGTCTCAAGGTGGGGCTCTGGCTGGTCGGGTGGATCCACCCAACTGGCGTCTGATTAGTCAGAGCGTCTGGGAGGCCTGGAGGACCAGGCCCTCACACGTATAGGCTTCAGGGTGCGCCATCGATCGGGAGAACCAATGTAGGAACGGAAAGTGTAAGGAAACCACCCTCGTAACCACCATGGCCACCGCCACCAGGGCCACCCTCGCCACCATCGCCACTATCGCCACCGCTAACAGGGCCACGCACTATCGTCACTACCACCCTGGCCACGCAAGGATGACTCGTAACCCCTTTCACGTGTATATAGACCATGGCCTTCGCACACCTCTTTAGCTCAGGCCAGGTTGAAGTCTTACGCCAATACCAGTCATTGCTCGCCCTGCTTGTTGCTCCTATTGTGACCACCTTGATCAGGCGTACCTGCCTTCTGTCACGACCAGGGCAAGGCATTGAGGTGAACTCAGTCCATTGGGTGCTATCGACGAAGATTCTAAACTGAGGAAGAAAAGAAGGAAAAGTCCAACAACGCGTCGCGTGCTCGCGAATAAGTTTTCATCTATCAGTGGGGTAGGTGGGGCCTCGAGGCGGCTTCTGATAGGCCCGGGGTTCTGGGCGGCTCTGGCTGCTTGAGGGCCAGTTTGGTGGACGGGTCCTCACACCTTCTCTTACATTCTTCCCGGACAGCAAGCCTACCTCCCAGTGGACTACAAGCCTCTCCCGGCGGATAGAAGTTTTCTATTTAACGCAAAACATTCCGCAGTCTTTAACGCCTTAATCGATGCCAAAACCCCCAAGGTCGTCCGCGTCATCAACCCGTCCACGGGAACGATGACGATCCCGAAGAACTCGCACGTCGGCGAGATCAACGAGAACACCGACAGCGGTTACTTCGCAACTACCTGGGGCAAAGCGATGAAGGTCTTGACAGCAGCCACAGTAGCTACATCTTTATTTGGCTCAGCGGCTGCCTCAGCAGCAGCTATGACAAGCGTCCAGCCACCTGGTAACTCTGTACCTTATACGCTCGGTTCTGGCTTTTCGCTCTTAGACTCCGTACCGACCGTTGGAGTTAATATGACGGATATCTGCTTTTACGCACCGCCTGTTTCCTCAGAGTTTGAGATGACTAACCTGATTCGTGGACTAGCTATGGGAGACGTCTCTCTCGACAACCCTCCCTACATACCGGACCCAGCGAACGTCGAACCTACTGGTATTACGGACACGCCCGTCAGTGACTTTGTTTATAATATCATTGAACCCACCCCCGAGCCGGTTACTATCGAACGACCCGGCGTCCCCGTTGAGCCAGACCCCGACAAAATCGAGACGCTACCGCCAAATATCGAAAAACATTCTACATTGGAGCTGAAGATGTCAGATGATTTACCAGAAATGGTTACAGAAGAGGGGGTCAGAATCTACAACGCGGATAAGGCATGGTCAAAAGAGCTGAAGAAAGTCGTTAAAGAGTTCCCGAAACTCTGGGTTAACGAAGGACTTATCAAAGTCCCTGAAGCCGAAATGATGAAGCTCTCTCTGGTAGAAGGTTGGCAAAACCAGAGGATCGCCAACCGTTCATACCCGTTGAGTCAGAAGGATAGAGTGGTTCTTGATACTATATTCAATCAGCTCCACAGGGAAACCCGCATGGAATGGGTTCACGAACCGACACCGTTTGCAGCACCCGTTTTCGTGGTATGGCGTACTGTTCACGGGGTAGAAAAAGGCCGAGTTGTCATCGACTTGAGATCTCTGAACAGGGTCTCTGTCCCAGACAACTACCCGTTGCCCCTACAGGCGGAAGTGATAGCTTCGTTACGAGGCAAGACATACATCACGGCCATAGACGCAACCTCATTCTTCTACCAGTTCGGAGTTTACTCACCACACAGAGACCGGTTTACCCTAATCAGTCCTCAAGGGCTAGAGAGATCGACAGTTGCCCTCATGAGTTATCGAAACTCTCCCGCCTACACTCAACGGTTCATGGACAGGCTTCTCACCGACCACTCCTCCTACTGCAGAGCCTTCATAGACGACATAGTGATCTTCTCAGACACCAAAGAGGACCACCTCCGCCACCTACGGACCTTGTTCAAGCTCTTCCTCAGTAAGAACATCGCGATCTCCCCAACGAAGTCATACATGGGCTACCCAAATGTTGAGCTGCTTGGTTTCCGCGTCGACGGCCTTGGTCTCACCACCACCAAGGACCGAGTTGAGGCCGTCAAGAAGCTCAAGTTTCTAGCCAGACTGAAGGATTTGGAGACATATATCGGGAGTACAGGTTTTCTGCGTCACCTCATTCCGTATTACGCCAAAATAGTCGAACCTCTACAGCTTCGAAAGGTTGCCCTGCTGGCCGAGGGAAGGAAAGAGGGCAGAGTCGTCAACGGGCACCCGACGAGACGGGCAAACTATTGCAAGGCCACCACGTTCGAGCCTACGGAAGAAGAATTGCTCTCCTTCCAAGCCCTGCAAGACATCATCTGCAGCGAGTCTGCCCCGATTATTCACCATC